AACAAAAAAAAAAAATTTAACTAAAATCAAATAAAAAATCAGGATTTTAGAAAGTGAAACCGGCAGAAGAAATTGACTGATCAAAATTTAGAGAGGGAAAGTAGTAGAGTGAGAGAGACCTTTGAAGTTAAGAGCGATACGAACACGGCAAAAGCAAGAGCTCCCCCAGGAAGAATATAGCTTCAGCTTCATTGGCTCCTCACCATTACTCGCCTATTCACAAACAACCAATAGCTTGTTAGACAGTTAAATCAATCAGTTGAGTCTGTAGTGATTGATGTGATGGTGCTCTGTGCAATTGATTGATGATGAAGTAAGAAAATTTTAGTGAGAATTTCTTTTTAAAAAAAAATTAAAATTAAAATAAATTGGAAACAGAGCAACTGATTCACAACGAATTTGAGAGACACCAACCATAGTGCACGATAAGAGTAACTCCTTGCTTCTTAAGTGACAACTCCTCAAATTTGAACTCTTGTTTTTCAATTGCAATGTAAAACATTTTATAAGTGCCAGCGTTCCATGATGTAAAATCACGCTCTCTACATTTTTCCTATTAAATTGAGTGAAAAAAAAAGGAGTTGCAGCCGGCTCCTGTTGTGTAGTTTCTATATTTCTTTTTAGAAAACCCAATAGCCTACAATAGGAAGAAAACCCTAATTTTACAAAACCCAATAGCCTACAATAGGAAGAAAACCCTAATTTTAGAAAACCCAATAGCCTACAATAAGAAGAAAACATAAAAACAAGAACCATTACAACAAAAAAGCTTAAGAAACACCAAATCATCATAACTCAATCCAAATTTACAGCCGAAAAAAGAAAACAAGAAAAATTCAACTGAAACAATGAAAATGCACTGACAAATGTATGGTTTGAAGCTCACCGAGAACCCTTGATCCCTCTTCTGAGCCCATTGTAGCTGGACTGAAATTGAGCTGGGCTTCTCAATTCCTACGGCGATAAAGCTAGAGAGAGAGGGTGGAGGGACCGACTTAGAAAGAGTCGTGGAGAAAGAGAGAGAGAGAGCGGCGATGAGAGAGAGCAGCGAATGAGAGAATTTTATTTTTAGGGCCAAAGAGGATCGTATTTACCGAACGAATTAGGGCAATATATTAAATTATGGAGAAAGGGCATTTTTAGGCAACACAAAAAAAAAGTGAGAAGGACATTTTTGGCAAAACATTTCTTGAACAGTAATAATCCATGTGCCACGTCAGCAATCCATTTTAGGGAAATATGAAACTTTGACTCCGCCTCTGAGTAAATACGGAGCCCTAACCCCATTTATACGTAATTATCCCAAATCAAAATCACACAGAGTCGAAACGAGGCACAAGTACAAGATCAAACATATGCAAACGTGATAGCAACACCCTTTAAAATAAGGGATAATTTTACTGACACCCCTAGTAGTTTGGCCAAATATCAGTCCAAAACATCTTTTGAAAATAACTATCACTTAGGTCTCTACGTTAAAAACATGGGAAAAGACATGTTTGCCCCTAATTTTTTAATCACATTTATTCTAAAATATTAGATAATATAAATGACTTCTTTACCCCTACACACACTATTTCTTTCTCCTCTATCTCTATCCAAATTCTCTACTCCCGAATTTCTAACTCCACCCAGTTGCTCCTCGATCTCTTCTCTACAGATGCACAAAACCTTCTAGAGTCCAAATTTCGTACCATCAAGCCCAAGTTCCAAAGCCATCTACATACATCACCGAGCAAATCCATATACCTTCCATCCATCTGCGTACCGCCAATCAAGTGGATCTGCAAATATGGGTTCATCCTCGATGCCTCTGCAATTTAGGTCTGCAAATGGTGGTTCTCTTCCACTATTTTGGCACCATCGTCGGTGCCTCTGTAATTTGGGTCTGCAAATATGGGTTCACTTCCACCATCGATGCCTACGCTTTCTCAATCTCTCTGTCTCTCTCTCCACCTGTTTATTTAAAAGTTTTCGACATTAGTTGGGCTTACCGGTGTAGACACTAAAATTTAGTGGGCTTTGGTTTTAACGAATGGACCCATTAAATATAGGCCTAATATTTAAATAAATTAATTAATTTACCAGGCTTGGTCCACTTAAATTATTTAATTAGCCCAGCCCAGATAATTAAATGAAACGATAATTATTCCTAATAAAATATATTTTGAATAATTATCTTTAAGGATAATTATCACAATATAACCGGCCCGGCCCAGTTATAGTTTTATCCTTATCAGGAGATGACACGTGTCATCATCCTATTAATCCAAGAAGCCTATAAATAGAGGCTTGGAGAAAGAAAAGAGGGGGAGGGGATTCAGAATTCAGAAGTCTACAAATTCAGACACAAATTCAGAATTCAGAAGTTCAGAGACTCAGAATTCAGACACAAATTCAGAATCGAAACCCAAAAGCGAAGAACATCAAGCACATCCAACAACGTGCCATTCTTCATCAAATTCTACAGTGATTCAAGAACAAGCTCGTGCAGCCCTTGGATCCAACCAACCAAAAACAAGGAGATCGAATCAGAGGACCATTCTTTTTTTTTTGTAAAAGATATTACAAAGGACTGTACTCCATATTCATAAATTAATAAAATTCTATTTGCTCCATATTTTGTTTCTATTGCAGACTTACAAAATTTGTGTGTACAACCAGATGTAACTGAATGCACCAGATGGGTTGCAGGAGGTGGCGGCATGAGAGTTGGTGTCTTCGTTGATGGTGTCGGCATGAGAGTTGGTGTCTTCGTTGATGGTGTCGGCGCTGGAGACTTGTCTGGCCTGAGAGATTAGAGAGAGAAAGAGTGCGGAAAGGGAGGGGACCCATAAACAGAAAAAAAATAAATATTAACAAAAATAAATAAACATATAAATTCAACCAATAAATTCCTAAATCAACCCATTTAGAATTTTTGAATAAACATATATATTCAACCAATTAATTCCTAAGTCAACTAATTAATTAGCAGTTAGCACTCCTCTAAAAATAAATGGAGTAATAAATTTGAAATTTTTGTCAACCAATTAATTCCTAAATCATACAAATCCACCAATTTGAAAAAACATAAACATGCAATAAGCAATTCTCACGAACCTAAACATATATAATTCAAATTATAAAAATATATATATGAATGGGTGATTTTTCTTATTTTATTTTTCTATTTTAGTTTTTAAAATTTTTCTTATTTTTCTCTTTCTCTTTTTAAATTTCATTAACTTCCTTAAAAAAATAAAATTTCATTAATTTCCTTAAAAATATATATGAATGGGTGATTTTTCTTATTTTATTATTCTATTTTAGTTTTTAAAATTTTTCTTATTTTTCTCTTTCTCTTTTTAAATTTCATTAATTTCCATAAAATAAAATAAAATTTTCTTACTTAAAATTTCATTAATTTCCTTAAAAAAAATATAGAACCGGACACTTGTGTGGCATATAATAGCCCTCAATACCACACTGTATGATGTTGATCACCTATTTTATTTATTCTTGTATATGGAAAAGGAAGGGTAAACATGTCATTTGAATAGTCAAACTAAAGTCAAATGAGGGTAAACATGTAATTTTAATTATTAAAGAAATAATTTAATGGATCAAACCAAAGTCAAAGGGTAAGAATGTCTTTTTACATGTAAAAAGTGGTCTGACATACCTGTCAACTAACTTTTAGGGTGTGAATGAAAAACGGAGCAAACGTTTGTAATGTAAGTGATGGTTATTTTCGACAAATATTTTAGACTGATATTTGGCCAAACTATTGGAGGTGTCAGTGAAATTATCCCTTTAAAATAATTATGTGCCTTAATTACTAGCACAGTAATAGAATATCTTTAGTCTCTAATTAAATACTCAACAATGACAAATTTAATACTTGAAGCAATGTCAGACACACCAACACTTTATATGTTCCCCATTTGATTTAAATGCACAACAAACAAAATATACTTGAGTTCTTTATATATATAGGTTTGAAGATTTGGAAAAATGGGCAAGTATTTGGAATCTCTTACTTGGGCATCCAAAGAGCCACGAAGAAGGTGCGAGTCACTGGTAAAAGATCACTGTCATCTAACGTACACTCGAGCATGCCTAGTTTCTTTAATGGAAATTTGGGGATGTTTATTTCTCAAGTGGGTCCCATTTAAACTCATGTGTTGGCATTTTTTAATTCTCAATTATTCAATTATTCAATTATTCAACGGCTTTATCATCTTTTGCCATGGACTTTTGTTGCTTTGAATAAACACAAATTATTGGTGTTGGATTTCACCTGCTCTTCACTGTTTTGAATTGCTTTTGGGCAATCTCTGGAATCAATGTGCAATGGTTGTGCATGAATTTCAAGATAGTGTTTCTCCATTTCTATTTTGCTGACCAATTAAGAAATTTAATTGGAATCCAAATTTTCTAAATCTTTTGACTTTTCCTTTGAAATATCAAAAAATGTTAAGTTTTTTATATTTTTTAGCCCGAATTTTCAAACTCTACCAGAAAGTGATAAGAACAAAACAAATTGCCTAGCAAGCAAAGTCTCAATCCATTTTTTTAGTGAATTACTGTAGTAAACTTTGATAAAATGGCTTTTTTTCTCGAATTTTTCTGTAGTTAACTAAATATTCTGTCTTTATTACTGTTTTTTCCTAGCAAACTAGAAAAACATATATGATAATTCATGTACAATTATGTTGATTCATGAACAGTTTTTTTTCTCATTAAAACAAAAAAACAAAACAATACCCTTTACACATGCACATAATACTGGATGCCCAAATCCAAGGAGCCGACTCGATGCCGCCAAACATATCATAAGTCATTTTCTTGTTTTCCCCATTTTCTTGCCGGAGATAAGACCAGCACAACTCTAAAGATAAATATACCATACACAGCTAAAATCAATAATTAAATAACACAACATAGACTTGACCTGATTCAGACACTTCCTGTCAATGCAAGTACATACTAAAAACCTAACCAAAACAACAAAAACAAAAAAAGACACACCAATCCATATACAAAGTTACTCAGCTAGAGCTATGATGGTAATAGTCAACATTCATACTCTCAATAATTAACTCATCATTCTACACTCATTGTCTAAATAAACCGGAATTTCCAACCAATAAGTATGATGATTCTGACCCAAAAGAACATCAAACCTTGACGATGAAGAATCCTCCATATGTTGCAATACAATTGCAATTACCAAGTGCCAAAATGAAATAGATCAAAATTTGAACTCGAAGACACGAGCAAATTGAAGGCTTTAGTATACAAATTTCATCTTTCAGGTTAACCATCATCGATAAGTTAACAATCTATACAAGAATGCCAATACCAATCAATATGCATGAAAGGGTAATATATTCAGAAAACTCTCAACCTGCAGTACCCGGATCAGTACCCTGAGCTTTGCCTCCATGAACAGTCTCTAAACATTCCTTGGCCCTGTGAACTTTCGACTGAAGGTAAAAACTCCCATTCTTCGCATTCCTCTCAAACAATTTATCGTATTTCTGCAGTTTGAGGAAAATTTAGACAACAAATTAAAATGTACAGAAATGAAGTGCAAATGTAATAAACACTGGCCTGCAGAATCTCCTCCCAGGAGGTATTCTCAGCGACGCCAAGAATCTGCCTAGCCTCCTGTTCCGTCATAACTTTGCTACCTCTGCGGACAGCGTTCTGTAGTGTTTCTTGAGCAACACCAGATTTTGACGCATCTGCAATCACCATCATAATATTATTTACTCAGAGCACTACAGAGGGATGAGCCACCATTACTGAAACTATTATCTTGTCAAGCCACCACAATAGATGCTACGGAGTACTAGATAAATAAAACATATGTGCTAGCTATTATTCATTCAACACATGCATGCAATAGCCTGAGAGACAATAAATCTATCTCGACCTACGACTGACAAATTCAACGGCTATAAAGATCATAGAAGTCCGGCTATGTGTAAGAATAAAAACATGTGTGGGTGCGTGGGTGGATCAAGGGGCTCCAACGCTCGAAAAAAATACTTATAGTTTGCATAAGGTTTGAAAAAGGCACAACATGAGTAGTGAGATTTTTTTTGTTTTTTCCTCAATTTACATGTGTAGTGAATTAGCAACAGGGTCCATAAAAAAGTGTATTTCTGTCTCAATTGACATTAATCTTGTCCATATGAAGTTTCTAGAGAGGAAAGAATAGTAGTTGAAGATTTTGTGAATTAGTTTAACAGAAATTCAGAGCCCAAAATTTAAACGATTATTGCAGGACTGGGGCAAGAAATCTTCAATGTAATCCAAAAAGATGTTCATCACCAATCACCTTTTTGAAGAAAATAAAAAGTCGGAAAGAAGATTAAAAGTGAAAAAAAAAAACTTTCCTTTCCCCACTTGCAATGTGCAAAACATTTCTACAATCCGGTGAGATTATTGAAGGTAATTTGAAATCAAATATTTTTCTGCAACTTAAGAATTCACTCAAGCTCATCAATTTGCTCAGAAACTCATTGAAATTCTAAATGACAATGAGAACTCCTCACTTCAACTTAATGTTCTCTCTTTTTTTGCCTAGTTAATTCATTAATATTCTCGATAATCATGAGAACTCACTTTTTGTAATTGTAGCATTATTAAAACTTCCACTTTTTGTAATTGTAGCATTATTAAAAATTCAGAAGAGTAGAACTGTAGTAGTTGACTTGAGGGAGCTCAATTTTATTTAAAGCAATAAAAATAAATATGAAGTGATCAATATACATGGTACATTAACTAGGGAAAATATATATATATATATACATACATGGTACATTGTTACCTCAAATTTATTATAATTAAATACCCTGGATTATAATTACAAGTATCCGTTTCTTTTGGATCAATATGATATCTGATGGATTCATAAATTGGTAGTTGTGAAAAATAATCTATTCCCTACATTGATCCAATATTTCACTAAAAAAATAGTAATTTCAAATTCTTATAGTCAAGTCAGATTTATAAAGGACTGAGCCCATCAGTTGGAGATTTCTCACTTCTTGTTTGCAGATGATACTTTGGTATTCTGCAATGCAGATGTGTCCCAGTTTGAGATATAAGAGGTGTGTTTTGATTTGCTTTCAGGCAGTTTCTGGCTTCAAAGTTAACGTTTGGAAGAGTAGGTTGGTTTCCAGTGGGGGAGGTTCCGAAGATATCTTCCTTGGCTGATATGTTTGGTTGTGGTGTTAGTTCCTTCCCTGTCTCTTACCTGGGTTTGCCGCTAGATTCACCTTCTAGGTGTGTGGCCGGTTGGGATCCCATGGTTGAGATGTTTAAGAGGAGGCTTGTTAGGTGGACGATGCAGTACCTTTCGAAGGGTGAGAGGGTCACCCTGATGAACGTGTCGTCAAGTCTTCCTACCTCCTTCCTCTCTCTTTTAGATTCCCTCCTCAGTGGCTAAGAGTATTGAGAGACTTCAGAGGAATTTCTTATAGGGAGGTATCGGGCAGGCGTTCAAGTCCCATCTCGTTTGCTGGGATCAAGTGTGTAGGCTAATCCATATGGGTGGTTGGGGAATCAAGAGGTTGGCCCCTTTCAACAGGGCTCTCCTTGGGAAGTGGCTGTGGAAAATTGGCTTTGAGCGTCAGAGATAATGAACATCAAAGATCTTAAAACCCACCAAAACTATAGAAGTTTTTGAGTTTCATTTGAAACAATTACTAGAAAAATTACAGCTCAACAAGAAGAGGCACATGAAGCGAAAAAACGTTACAACCATGGCTGCGAAATTACAAAAATTGGAACACTACTACCATGATCCTCTTTCATAGTCTCCATCAATCTTCCAACCATAAGTCCAAACTGAGAGAGGAGAGTGTCTGGAGAGTGTAGAACGAACTGAGAGAGGAAGAGGCCAGATGGCGATGAAAGTTGTTGAAAGATATAAAACAGTTGAAGAAAGAAATTAAAACATGAAGAACACAAGAATATAACGTGGTTCAGCCACTAGGCTTATATCCACGACACAAAGTCAAATACAAATATGGCAACAACTTGTTGCCCAAGTGTAGCATCGTTAACATTCTGTCAATGAGTGATTTAAGAGCTTAAATGACTCCTTTAATTATTCTCCAACACCCCCCACCCCCCTCTCGAGTTGGTACACGGAGATTTAACTTAAGTGTCCAAATTGAAACTAAATATAAAGTTGTCGAAAGTCTGAGACGAATAAATCTGAGATAAGTTGATCCGAATATCTGAGACAAGCCGAGTTGATCCGAAGATCCAAGACGAGTAGAGTATAGAGTAGGGTATGATAAACCTGCTCTAATACCATGTCAAAATTGAAGAGAAAAATAGAAAATGAAGAACACAAGGATATACGTGGCTCAGCCACTAGGGTTTACATCCACGGCACACCAAGCCCAAAGGGCCACATATCTATTTTATACTCTCTTGATTTTTGTATACAATTATCACCTCTATTTATAGGTGAAATGAGAAAGACTTGTAGCTAGCGAACAGAAATTTCTTGCTCCACAAGTATTTCATAATAAAGGAACTGCATGGAAAGTCAAATACAAACATGGCAACAACTTGTTAGCCAAGTATAGCAACGTTAACATTCTGTCAAGGAGTGATTTAAGGGCTTAAATCACTCCTTTAATTTTTCTCCAACTGAAGTTAATAAGAGGTTTTAACTTTAAAACCTAGACAACATGATTTGTATATATATATCATATACGTAGATACATTTGGGGAATAATAAAAGTTTAGTACAATTGTACTAAGAGAGGTTTGGGGAACTATAGACGTTTAGTAACGATAATAGTTAGGGGTGTGTGTGTGTGTGTGTGTGTGTGTGTACACACTTTTTTTTATAAATAAAATGTATTAGAAAGAGTTCAAAAGGGGAACGTATCCCATGAGATATACAAGGAACCAAGCCAAAATAAAACCCGATGGACCCAAAGAATCCAAAAAGTCCACAATCCCATCTAAAGATGTACAATTTCTCCCCAACACCCAACTAGAAAGAGAACTAATAATAGAAAATTTTAACGCCCCAATGGAGGTTTCCTCCCCATCAAAAGATCTTTTATTTCGCTCTTTCCAAATGCTCCACCAAGCACAAAGGGGGGGTCACACACACACAAGCGTGAGACTTAAAGATTATTAAATGTACCTGCATATATAATTGGAGCGGGGTTTTTTCTACTAAACCCAACCCCGCCCCTACCCCGCTTCGGGTTTACTTTTGCACACCCAAACCCGCCCCTATCCTATTTTATAACATCCCATTAGGGGCGGGGCGGGTAAATTTGACATCCCTATTCAAGGCCCGCCTTTTCGTGTTAGACTATTTGGCGTTCAATCGCTCCCCTCAAGGTGGCCTTTTTCATCTGCACAGCGATTTTGGGAAATATTTGACGTTGGATAACCTGAGGAGGAGACACATCGTAGTCAATTGGTGTTGCATGTGCAATAGAGATGGAGAGACTATTGATCATCTTCTGCTGCATTGCCCCATGGCCTAGGACTATTGAGATTTGCTTTTGGGTTTGTTTGGGATCTAGTGGGTAATGCCTCGGTTCTCGAGAACCTTGATCGATGCTTGGAGAGGGTGTTTTGTGGGCTCCAAAGCCCACGACTATTGGAGGGTGGCACCCTTTTGTGTTTGGTGGTGCACTTGGAGGGAGCAGAATAGAAAGTCCTTCAATGGGGAGGAATCTCCTATTGGTGTCCTGAAACCCTCTATTGCTAGCTCTCTTTTTGTTGGGTCAATGGGAGAAATTGTAAACCTTTAGTGGAGTTCATTGATTTTTTGGGTTCTTTGGGTCCTTGGGGCCTTTTGTTGTCCCTTGTGTAGCTTTCTTGGGATGTGTTCCCCATTTGAACACCTTTTATACAATCAATCTTACTTAGCAAAATAAATAAATAAAGAAGTTAGTTTGCAATAAATAAAAACAACCTATGTATCCTTAATCAATTCTTTGGATATTATTTAATTTACCACTTTTTATTGACTAGTTATTAAAAGATACCGTATAAAGATAGCCAAGTCTATATTCAATTTGTACACCCATGACAACAGCAAGTTTAGACACAGATTGCTAGGGCTAACTGTAAGCATTGAATTTTTCCATCTATTTTCAGATTTGATGTGCACAATTTTCATGCAACAAACACAGGGATTTATGAACCAACTTCTCTTTGACCCCATATTATAATCTAATCTAATTATGTTGCTTAGTATATTGCAGTACAAAATACTAAAATCATCAATTTTGGGGCAAAGGGAACAATGTTGATTGCAACCTAAGAAGCTCAAGTTATCAAACGTGGGCTAAAGTTCGAGGGCAGTCAAATCACATGCATAACACAACAAATTAGGTCTGCCCACTACAACCACCGTAGCACCCAAGATTGACCAGAGCAACTCTGGTAGTAAGACCAACAATTGATAAGTGGTTTATTCTCATTTTTTGGGCTACTCTTTGCAGCTAAGTTCAGCCATCTTATGCCGTACCATTATACTTTTTCAAGCTTTACGCAGTTTTGTGCCATTTCAGCTGTGCTTTATAACATTTCCAAAGTGTTTCCGTTATGTGGCTATGAAATCCAACAACCAAGATGTTATTTGTTGTTATTTATTTTTAGTTATTGTACTATTGTATTCTTACTTTAATAGTTGAAAAACATTGAACTTTCATTGAGCATATTTTATGCTAGTGTTTATAATTGTAGGCTGATTTTAGTCTTTTGGTAGAACTGAACAAGTTCAAGCTGCAGGAGGTTTCTCCTCCGTTATTAACTAAACAAGCCATAAGTTTTTTCCCTCTGGACATAGAAGCCTGGCCATTAAAATTTAAAAAATTCCCATTTATATTTGAAACAACAAGAAAGGTAAGGTAGAAAAAGGACAATTTAAAATACACCGTATCATATTTTTAAGGGTAATTAGTTGGCACAGAATAGAAAATATTCTTAATGGCTAAATTTGATGTTCCAAAACTAAACCATTCAACATTAAAATGTGTCATGCACAAGATATTACCAGCACACTAGTGCTTATTAAAGAAATAGCTCTGTCAAACACTGCATTCAGAGCCAACTTTCTGCACAATTAGTACCAGTTATGAAGATGTGTGGTCTCTGCTGTTTGGCAATGCATGACGACAAAGATGAAGCGCAAACTAAATAAATCTCACAACAACGAAGATGTGAAAAATGGAAAGAAATATATTCAAATCACAGGCACAACTGCATGAGACTCTCCAAATATAAACACGGTTTTTCTTTCCTTATCATTTTAGTCTTATTATAGTTCTACTAACCAAGCTTCAAGACCCTAACTAAGAATGTAAAGGATGGAAGAGATGCAGACCATCAAGAAAGTAACAAAAGCAACAGCAAGAAAAACTAACAACTAACTACGGGAAGGAGTAAGTAAGAGAACCCCTCAAAGAACCTTCCATATCCAATCAGCAAAATAAAGAGTAAATTACAATAGACTACAATAGAAAATTTGAGATAATACAATTTAAAAGCTTACTCGCAAGTGCTTGACGGTATGCTTGAGCAAAAGCCCGAATCATAATCCCAGAGCCCATTACAATTAAATTTGCAAGAATCTTCGCAGCCTGCTCAAACAAGGACATGAATTAGTTAAACTTGGTACTCGGTCATGCAAATTTAATCCAATTGTAGGAGCTCGACAAAGGAGCTTGCAAAAATCAATAAGCATCGAAAGGCCACTTGGTGCTCAATACTGGTCATTCAATCCAAGAAGCATTCCAACCCTACTTGGTAGCTTCATGACATCAATAGATAGGTAACATTGCATTGTTTAATCAATTGATGCCTTAACCGTACTATGGTAAACATTTGCCCAAGAATGCATGCCACAGATGGCCAATCTCCTTTTCTTCTCATTTATAAATATAATCAGTAAGTAATCCTGTTTGTACCCTAATATGACATTTGTCAAATTGGTCCAGTTAAACAAATAAAGACACCATAGTATGGTGATATAAAATGAAGTCTAAGAATACTTGACCTAAAGCCAAGTTTGGAATGATAGAATGAAGCTAAAGAGTACTTGGCCCAAGGCCAACTTTGAAAGTGTCACAATATTTTTACATATGGTTGAAAAATCTTTCGCTTAAGGCCAAGTTTGAAGTGATAGTCTTGTTTTTCACATTTTTAACAAATTAAACCAATAATGGTCTTATGCCATGCAACAGTGAAAGAGTGTTGTTTAAACTAATTGATACATTGGCCTGATTTACTAAAATATTGGTCCGAAGAAAGTTCGTGTTAACGATTAGGACAGGGGACACATGTCAAGTACACAAACGGACGATTATATATGGTTTCAAATGTCCCAAAATGCTCTCAAACACTTAGGCTCGCCTATAAATATGTGAAGCAGCATTCGACGAAAAAGGTCCACACCATGTCATTCTGCAGCATTTTTATGTTCATTTCCTTAGTTGTAACCATTAGTCCTTCCACAGTTGTAACTTAGACTTTCCTTTCTGCAAGTATTAGTAGTTGTAGTTGTTTTAGGCACATAGAACTTCGCTTCTGTAAATGCTCTGAGCCTATCATTGTATATTGAATTATGAGCATTGTAATGAAGAATACAATATTGAATAAAATAACTCTCAGGTATTCTTATTTTAATTCCATCTTTCTTTGAGTTTGTTAATCTTGAAATTGTAAAAGTCCTTGTTTTAAGGCATCAAGAACATTAAGGGAAGAATAATCCCTACTTCCTAACATCGCCTGGTTTTGCCTAAGGCCAATTGAGTCCTGTTCATTCAGGCCAATTGGGTGTTTCAGGGATTAGTTTGGTAATTTATGTTTTGAGTCCACGTGGGACTCTGGCACGCTCTCAAAAAGACCAAACAAATCCGTTAAGAAGAGAGAACAGAGGATCCAACCTTACATGAAGATACCTTGTTGCTCAGACGAAACTATTGTCAAGTCAAAGAAAATTGAAAGAAATTGAAAAATCACAACCTTCCATGGGAAATTATACTAACAAATTTTCAAATAAGTAAGAAAAAATCGAATTCAAAATTTTTAGAACACAAAAAATGGTACAAATTCAATCATGAGTGGAAATCCAAACCCTCCACCAATCTGCCTCTCTAGCTGTGATGTTTTTCATATGATTTTAAATAACAAATAAACATGAGTTCAAATGCAACTCCCAAGCGGTCAGCAATATAATGCCATCTCTCTGGCCTCTATATATGAACTATAACGTGTATTCCCATATATAATATCTAGGGGTGCACAAAAAACCGGTGTAACCAAAAAACCAAACTAGACAAGACCAGTCAGTTTGGTTCAGTTTTATCACGGTTCAGTCCGGTTACGGTTCCAATATTATGGAACCGTAGTTTTATGGTTTGGTTCTGGTTTAGAGAGTCCTACGGAATCGGACTGAACCGAACCAAACCGTTAGAATATGTATATATATATACATATTATATTATATTTCCTACCCCAAATCTTCTCTCTTTTTCCCATTTCTCACGCAACACAGCCACTCCTAAGTCGCTGCCTCTTGATCCAGTGCGACCCATAACTTTAACCACTATGGCATGCTTGATCTTTGAACTATGATGGAAAAATACTATGATGTCATAAGATGGAAAGCTTGATCTCTCTAAAAGGGTAGAAAATATACAATGATGTGTGAGCAATCAGTCAACACACCGTCAAAGCTTGATCTCTCTAAATGAAGCAATCAGTCAATGCATAGCCGCCATCAATCCCTTCGGCCTCGTCCTTCTCTCTCTCTCTTTCACTTCTCACCAGCATCACCTCACCATCGTCGATCCGTTGGGCCACCAACGATTGTTCTTAGCATTGTTCTATTCGGCCACCAATGCTGAACCACAGTCCATCCCGTGCCTTGGCCTACGCTACTGTCACTGCATCCCTCTCTCTCTCACACACACACACACACAGTTCCAAATCTCACCATCTCCACAAACCAGATCTCACCATCTCACCGTCCCAGACTTGTACTGGGTTCTGTTTTTTTTTTTCCCCCACTAGAGCCGTGGAACCGAACCGGTTTCTCACTGTTCGGTTTGGTTGGGTTCCATGGGTTCTCACGGTCCGGTTAGGTTCCAATTTTTGTGGAACTATTAGGACCGTTTGGTTCCAAAAAAACTTCCAAACCGGTCTGAACCAAACCGTGTGCACCCCTAATAATATCAAACTAGAACAAACATGATTTAAAATAATATTCCCCAACACAGCCACATGAAGCAATTTCTTAAGAAGAAAACAAAAACAGAAAAGATGTAAAACATATCACAACAGAAGTAAATAGACACAATCATAATCTCAAGAGAATCTATGCCTAGAAAGAGTTGTTAAACTTCTTCTTCTTCTTCTTCTTCTTTTTTTTTTTTGATATGTAGATATGTATTAGAAGGCGTTCAAAAGGGGAACACAATATTCAACATCCAGTAAAGGAATTTCCGGCTTTCATAAAGCAACAAATAACCTGTGACCTAAGAAAATATGGGGCAAACTCACAATTTCATCAAATTTGTAGTTTGCTAGGTCATGAACTTCTCAAATTAGGTTGAAATGCACAACAGCTATCACCATTATGTGGATAGTCATTCGTTTCTGACAAGGCATTTGTGTTTCAAAAATGCCAAGGATTAATCCACTCTAATGCTCCTACCATAAAGAGCTTATTTTACTATCGGAAAATATCTACTTATTATTTATATATCAAGATGAAGATTCAGACAGTATGATTGCTATGCCCCTACGGAGTATAGTTTTTGGTCCCACCAATCCTATCCCTCCTACTCTGTCATTTATTAGTTTCCAAATCACTCTTTAGTTGTTGTAATATTCCCCATATATATATACTAGAATACTAGAAGATAAAAATGTGCAATGCACGTGAGTAAAAGAATCTTTAATAACTAAATAAAATATATTTATGAATGCTGGACTTTGATAAGCATCTATATTGATGTATTTAAAAATATATATAGAAAAAAGGATCAATCTTTCTTGCTTCTTAAGTTAAAGAACATTGTGTTCTTTGAATGATAAAATCTGTGAAGAACTAATAGTACAAAGAGACGTGATGGCTAACTAATACGAATTAAAAAAAGTCTTGAAAAGTCACAAGTATTTAAAAGGACCATCACCAACAGCTGAAATTTTTGTAGCCAATTGTTGTATAGATAACTGTAACTTAAAAACTTAATTACAATTGGTAGTCAATAATACAAAGAGATGTAATGATTCACAGTTAATTAGGAAGAGATCTTAAAAGGCACAAATTGTATATTAAGAAAGTATCAACCGAATTTCAGAAAGGTTAAAAATTGATACATTGTATAAATTGCTATAAAAAAAATTTTAAATATTTTTTCGGGCCAATATTTATAAATTGATCAACCAAACAAATAATTGGAATCCCAAAGTTATTCCTTTTGACAATAATTGTCATAAAAGTTATTCCTTTTGACAAGTTTTTTTTCAATCAGATAAGTTTAATAAACCAAATATGTTGATAGAGTATGATTCTAACATTAATTCTTAATTGACGTATGGATATCATTGCACAAAAATAATGCATAAATAATCAAATGACTCCTATAGAAAATTTATTTTGATTATTGGAATACCTTCAAGTAACAGTGTTGTCTTGTCAGTGACTCGGTGGAAGTCCTAATGTGCTTCATCTATATTGAGCACCTGCCCAATCTACCATTGGCAGTGTTCGTCGACTTAGCATGAAGGAATGAAATAATGACATGGCCATGGACAATGTAGTATGTAGTATGTACATAGCAAGGTAGAGATAGAGTTACAAAGATACTCTTTAACATCAGATTATAGTGAACAAAAGTTATGTGGAAAAACAACTCTAGAATCTTTCAATAATTTGATATAGCAGTATACACAGAGAACTATCAGACATACCTGGACACGTAAAATGTTTTTGGGGGAGAGAAGAGTTGTAGCCTTCAAAGATTTTATTTAACCAAGACGGTGGCCAACCATTGTATGGAAATTTATTGGGGGATTGTATCCAACCAATGTATCTCTATTATAATTATTTTTTGATAGATCATATAAGTGGTCAATACTATGTCCTATAGAAACAACCCCTCTTTTAACAAAAAAAATTCAGTTTCCTGTTTGCTGACTTTGAACCCGTCTAAATTTCAAATTTACCAATAGTGAAGAGCAACTAAAAAATAAAGCAGGAATTTTGCCATGGCAGCAAATAAAGTTTTACTACTATAAAAATTGTTGTTAAATCGGCCGACCATGATAAAGAGGCTCTAAAAAGATCTCTCAATCTAGAATAGACGAAATAATATTAGTAAATGGCCACACATTCCTTTGCTTTAGAAATGTCATGCCCTTGAATTCACACCCACGGACGAACTGAGTTGCTTTTGTAAGTCTAAGATATCTTTCCTCACCATGAATACTAGCTATCGGCAAGCTACCAATCCAATTAAATCTATCACTCCGGGACTAATGGTTATATTCACTAATCTGATCCCTTATGATCAAACCTCTCATAAAATGGTAACGAAGGGAAACAAAAGAAAAGGGTTTTCAAATAAGGTCAGGTATTCATTTCTAGAACTCTATATTTGACAATTTTGACCTGACTCCTCCTTCATATTGACAAAACAATAGCCACCCCAGCAACATCAAATCACTATAGTTCTTTATTTGTTTGGAATGGCCAGAATCAATCAAATTCATGTGTAATCAGAATGGTCTCAGGTAGAATATATACAGATAAGCTATAATTTTTAGTGAACCCGTTTTAAGCCCCCATCAAAATACCTTATTAATCATGCTTGTTCATTGCCATGCGTGCACCGACCTCCGCAGACAAATCATTTGTAAAACAATGAAAAACTAACCCTGACAGCATATTCATTTATATACACATATATACATACAGAAGGGAAAAAAAACAAAAACTCCAACGCATGTAGACCTTAAATTTAAAAACTAACAAATGAACGCCATTAGAGTTCAAAATTTTTAGAATCTCCTCTTTTTATTGAAATTTCTCAGGAAACAAACAGGGAAACAAGGAAGAAAAACAAAAAACAAAACTAATTGAAACTTACCATGGCTGGAGAAGATAAGTTACGAACCCTTCAGATTGTATGATGCGTGTTTCTGCTAGCAAATTAGGGTTTTGAATTAATAAACGAAACTGTACGAGGAGCAACCGATGGAGTTGCAGGATAGGATTGTTGGCCAAGAAACGAATTTGTCTGCAACAGGGAAAGAGAGAGAGGAGGGCTAGGGTATAAGAGGAAGAAGAAACCGACGTCAAGTAATGTAACGGGTCGGGTACTCGAATTGGGCTTGGTCTTGGGTTGAGGCTGACCCTCTAATCTTGGGCTTTTTGGATGCCTATTGGCAACTTTGGTCTTGGACTTTACATTCTGTAGGCTGCAACTTGGGTTGGCCCAACCCAGCCCAGTCCCAACCCAACCTCAACCCGAAACGGGTTGGGTTGGGCCAACCCGAATTGTACTGTTATGATCATAATCCGAACCGAATATTTTCGGACGGATTGGATCGGGTTGACGGGTTGAGGTTTTTTTTTAAAAATTTATATATATATTTGATTATATTATTATAAAGAAAAAAAAAACAAAATATTTTTAAGGCAAATCATTTCAGCCCCCCTGTCACCTCCAGCTCCATTCTCTCTCTCTCTCTCCAACGCAAGTTACAAAATCTACAAGAATCAGAAGTTCAAAACCCATATACTTCAGTTTTATCTATCTATGTGCAAGAATCAAAAGTTCAAAACCCATATCGGCATATCATTTCAGATTGTTCAAAAAATCAAAACCCAGGTCTTTCAGTTTCCATCGCCTGCTGTTCCAGTTTGTTAAAGCTTCGCCAGATTGGTTCAAGCTTCGCCATATCATTTCAGATTTGTTCAAAAAATCAAAACCCAGATTGTTCAAGCTTCGCCCATGGACGGCGGCAAAGAGAGAAAGATAAAGAAAAAGAAGAGAGAGAAAGAGAAAGAAGAAAGAGGAGAGAGAAAGGAGAAAAAAAAAAATTTAAGCCCCTTCTCAACTCTCAAGCTTCGCCCATGGACGGCAGCATACAGAGAAAGAGAGAGGAGAAAGAGAGGAGGAAAAACGAAAAAAAAAAAAAAAAAAAAATGGGTTTTGGGTTGGGTTCGGGTTGAGCCCAGCCCAATCCGAATTTGTCCGAGTTTTGACAAAATCCAATCCAAACGTGAACCCGATTTGTGAATATAAGTCCCAATTTCAAAATTTCTGGGTTGGGCTGGGTTAGCCCGCCCAAGTTGCAGTGTACATAACCATTACATGTATACAATTGCTTCAATTTCCCAGGAAAAAATACAATTAAATACTACATAATATAATTACTTCATCTAATTAGTTAGTAAAAACAATTAAAGATCAATATCTGATTTTTTTAAAAAAAATTAGATTTAAAAAATTTAACAAAATTTAATATTAAAGTGATAAAAATGATAATATTTTAAACATTGATCTTTTTACGCTCTATCTACCGTTTTATGTGACTTACGTTTCATTTGTTTGAAAATATGAATAGAAGGGAGAGGAAAAAAAGGAGGGAGGGATAAGGCATCCCTAAATAAGGGAATGTATCTCTAACACTTTCTGTTTAGTTAAATGGAGTGAATGATAGAAATGATGCACGGTCTTCTAACAGGGAAAAAGATTGTTTTTAAGTTTTCTTACTGATTACTATAAGATTCACCAAGTGTGCGAGTTTTTGTCTTCTCAATGGTAGCAAGTAGCAAGGGGTGGATTTTCCTAAATAGTTGTCTTCAAGAAGCGTTTCGTTCTTCCTTCTTGTGTTTGATATTAAATTTTGAAAAGAAATAAAATGAAAGGGTTTGGAGGGGTAATTTTGAAAAGAAATGAAATTAAAAAAAAAAAAAAACAAATTCTTTTTAAAGTTTTGTACCTCTCAATCTAAAATTCCAATAGATACAATGATGAAACTAGTATTAAGAATTTATGTCTTGCGTGGACAAAATTAATACTGGGTGATAAAACATTTTATGGAGACTATAGTTTCTATCTTGTGTGGACGAAATTAATACGTTAATAAATCCATTCTAGCCTCGCTGCCTTGTGCAGACTTCAGCACGTATGGAGCTGCAATTCAAGAACAACTTCAGGTTGCTTTATCGAAAAGCTGGTTGTTTTGGCAGACATTGCACGACAGAGACCGGCTTGGGAGCTTCGCCGGAGGAAGAAAGGAATGTCACACCGGGGAGTCGAGCCTTTTCTCCGGTCTCGGCTTTGCTAGTGGGAGGAGGACAAGAGAGCAGCCATACAATGCCCAGCCAACTGAATTATTTTCCGCAGCATCTATTGCCTCAAATGCAGTTTCCCTATCTTCCACTAGAACCCACAATTCTAATGGGCGGTCACTTTTGTGGAACAATGTTCAAAATGTTGCTGGTTTACCTTCACATTTGTTCCCTCAACGAAAATCACAGCCTCGGCCACAATGTAGTTCCAGCTTTTTTCTAACACCTGCCAAGGGCCACAATTGTTAGAAGCATTTCTATAAACGCCCCTGAAAGCAGCCTAGCAAAAGGGTTTGTTTGGTTTGTAATTACTATGGAAACATTTTTCTGTTCTCGAAAAATTGAAAATAGAAGAAAACTGTACAAAAAATTCTGTTTGGTTTAGTTTTCTGAAAATTGTTTTCTAAAAACTCAGTTATAAAAAGGGTTGTTTTAAGAGAACAGTCTTTTATAGTTCTCTGAAAACTGTTTTCCGATTTTGTAGATAACTGTTTTCTGATTTTTTAGACAACTGTTTTTAGAATTACAAACCAAGCAAACTAAATTTTCACGTCTAGCATAAAAGCACTACATAGAGAGAATCGACGGTTTTTTTTTTTTTTTTTTTACTTTTTTTGGATCCGCAAGAGAATGAGAATTCATTTAACAAAAGGCATAAAAGCCAATGTACAACTGACTTGAGGCCCCAAGGAAAATACATTCATGAATTGAGAACCCCAACTCCACCAAGTAAATATCAACCAAAAAATTTAACCAGAAATTCGAAGAGCAACTCGGCATATCATTCTCCTAAAACAGACGATCCCTATAGCCACTATTAAGACCCCCAAATCTTAATCCAAACGATACTAGCTCTACAAATCATATCAGAATGCACAAATTTTTTGTTGCAGCATAAATTTCTGATGGAAGCATACCAATCCTTCACAATCATACAAGAAGACGTATCAAAGACCGTGATCCAGAAAGAAGCAAAGATATAGTAGACAACAAAGCAAACAACAGGAAGAACCAGTGTCAAAACAACATTTAGAATCCTCTCTGTACATTCTGATGGAATGCAACCCCATCCATACAACTATATGGAGTCGTCAAACTGAGCTGACCCATACAGTAAGCAAATGATGCATAGCCTTATGACTAGACATGTTCATGGATTTAATTTTGATCCGAATCCGATCCGAGTTTCAAATAATTATGATATAGATTGGAACATTTAATCCGATAAGTGATCCGAATTCGATCGATTGACAAGCTTACAATTGATGCAGTTCGACTTAGCCCTACACACACTGTTAAAGAGGTGTTCCGCATCGGATCCGAATAGGTAAAATGGGTATACATGAACAAGGAGGCAACATTATCCAACAAAAGCTTTTGGGTCATTGGCAAGCATTCGACCTGTTACAATTGATATTAAAACCAGACTCAGTCCGTGATCATGAGTCATGCCAATCCCCTACCCGCCCAACATAAAAAGTATTGAAAAAAGAAAACCATAATTTATGATGACCTTTAAATATGGGGTTTGTGTGGCAATTACATGAGACCCCAAATGGCACCTATCGCAACCTTTGGATGACCCTAGAACCCAACTGAAATAATGATCCAAGGGCACCTTCCCAAACCATCACCACTCAATAGGAGCACTTCAAACCCCAAACAATTCCTTTTCCAGTTATATTTCTTTTTCTTGAAGTTTGAATTTCAAAATGTCTCTCTCAATCCTCATGAGTCATCAGAAGGCACTGCATGGCAACCAAAGTAAATTGAAAAAAGAAAAAGAAAAAAAAAGAAGAGCAAGAGGAGTGGAATTATTAAAAATAATCACCTTGCATATAGTATTAGAAAACAAGTACACCATGTTAGATTATACGTATGTAGCATGTGAATTAAGTGTAATAGTTGAATGAAAATGGAGAAGAAAAAAACTAAGTCATGACCCAAACAAAGTCTTAGTTAAATTATAAATCCAGCTGGAGAGAGTCCATTAGTGGGATTAATCAAATAGTGAACCAACAGAATTGGTCACTATTGACAGCTCTTCTCCAACGACTAGTTTCACTATAAATATTTGTGGACATTTAATACCATTGTCATCATCTCAACAAAACCTCTCTACTACTACTAGCTCTTTTAAACTAGCTAGTTCTCTCAAAGCCAAAGAGAGATTGGATTCAGATCCATTGGCTGGAGCTGGTGAATATTCCGGCAAGCGATGGCGTTTCATGGCGGCGACCCCTTTCGGGGTCGTCTATGGCCACAATTGTTAGTGGCATTGGCCATTGTGGTTGTTTCAAATAATTTAGTCTCAGCTGACCCATATTTGTACTCCTCTCCTCCACCACCTTATGAGTACAAGTCGCTGCCGCCGCCTTCACCTTCTCCACCACCACCTTATGAGTACAAGTCACCGCCGCCTCCTACTCATTCTCCACCACCATCATATGAGTACAAGTCTCCACCACCACCTTCTCCTTCTCCGCCACCACCATATGTGTACAAGTCACCTCCACCACCACCATATGAGTACAAGTCACCACCACCGCCTTCTCCTTCTCCACCACCATATGAGTACAAGTCACCACCACCACCACCACCTTCTCCTTCTCCACCACCACCATATGTGTACAAGTCACCTCCACCACCTTCTCATTCTCCACCACCACCATATGAGTACAAGTCACGTCCACCACCTTCGCATTCTCCACCACCACCATATGAGTACAAGTCACCTCCACCACCTTCTCCTTCTCCACCACTACCATATGTGTATAAGTCACCTCCACCACCTTCTCCTTCTCCGCCACCACCATATGAGTACAAGTCTCCACCACCACCCTCCAAATCCCCACCACCACTTTACTACTACAAGTCCCCACCACCACCTTCACCATCACCTCCACCACCTTACTACTACAAGTCTCCACCACCACCCTCCAAATCCCCACCACCACCTTACTACTATAAGTCCCCACCACCACCCTCACCATCACCACCACCACCTTACTACTACAAGTCTCCCCCACCACCCTCACCCTCTCCTCCACCACCATACTACTACAAGTCCCCACCACCACCCACCAAATCACCACCACCACCTTACTACTACAAATCTCCCCCACCCCCTTCACCATCACCTCCACCTCTTTACTACTACAAGTCCCCACCACCACCAGCATCTCCTTCACCTCCACCACCTTACTACTACAAGTCACCACCGCCACCATCGCCATCACCTCCACCTCCCTACTATTACAAGTCTCCACCACCACCGGCTAAATCCCCACCGCTGCCACCACCTTACTACTACAAATCTCCACCACCACCGTCCAAGTCCCCTCCCCCTCCATACTACTACACTTCTCCACCACCACCTTACAAGTCTCCTCCAACTCCATACTACTATACTTCTCCACCACCACCTGTCCCTCACCCTCACCCCCACCACCACCCACTGGTGGTCAAGGTGGTCGGAAAAGTGTACTGCTACAGATGCTATGACTGGACATACCCAGAAAAATCCCATGACAAGAAACACCTCAAAGGTACAATTTTTTCCCCTTAATTAAACATGACCTTATTTTTTTGTAATGACATTGTTATTACTAGTGTAATTGTTCTTTACAGTCTATTATGTCTATATATGTTCTATAGATATTCTTGTTCTTTATTGCAGTACATCCGTAGTATTGATTAAATGTGTGTCCATGTACTTAATCTTGAATACATATATGTGTGTGTGTGTGTGTGTGTGTGTGTCTGCAAATGATGTGTTCTCAATTTTACAAATTATATCTATAATGACTAAACAATTATTATTCACTGATTAGTACTATTTTCATTAATTAATTATACAGTAAATCATAGGATTTTTATTAACTTATTTATTTTTCATTTTAATTAACTTATATGAGATCTCATAAATGTCAGAACACTGCCTTTGATGTTAGTTTTTGGTTTGAGGGACCATGTTACCCTTGCTGGCATACAATTTCCAGATATATCAGTGACTATATATACTCAGTTAAAAATTAAAATTGTCACAATAACATTTATTCTACATAGGATGTTCTCATTGTCAAAACTAAAAGAATAGCTATTAAAATAACTTTTACAACTGTGGAGACTGGAGAGTGACATTAAATATATAGAGAGAGATGCCTTCCGACAAGAAAGGGTGCAGTTTAGGCTAAATGATTTTTTAATGTAACTGAGAACTGCTAACAATTTATTTGGTTATGACAAAGATAAAGTTAGTTATGGGGTAGGTAAGAGCTATACATATGTTTTAGTTGACTTTTTTTGAATGGTAGTGCTAACATGTTTGACGGTGTATTTTATTATTCTATGTACATGGATCAGGTGCTGTTGTTGAGGTGATATGCAAGGCAGGTGACAAAAAAATTATGGCCTATGGTAAGACCAAGATCAATGGTAAATTCAGCATAACCGTTGAAGGGTTTGACTATGTCAAGTATGGAGCCAAGGCTTGCAAGGCTCATCTCCACATGGCGCCAAAGGGTTCACCATGCAACATACCAACCAACCTACATTGGGGCGTGAAGGGTGCTGAGGTCACAGTCAAGTCAAAGGACAAGTATGAAGTTGTGCTCAAGGCCAAGCCATTTGCCTATGCTCCCAAGACTCCTTACAAGGAGTGTGAGAAGCCTAAGCCCAAGCCTACCCCTACTCCTTACATCTACAAATCTCCAGCACCACCACCACCACCACCAACCTACATCTACAAGTCTCCGCCTCCACCGCCGGTTACTTACGTATACAAATCACCACCACCACCTACTTACAAGTCCCCACCACCACCTTCGCCAATAGTACACCCACCGTACTACTACATGTCCCCACCTCCACCTTCTCCATCCCGTCCCCCGCCTTATTACTATAAGTCTCCACCTCCGCCTTCTCCATCTCCACCTCCCCCGTACTATTACAAGTCACCCCCACTACCATCGCCATCTCCTCATCACGATCCATACTATTACAAATCACCTCCACCACCATCACCCTCACCGCCACCACCCTACTATTACAAATCACCCCCACCACCTTCGCCATCTCCTCCACCACCATACTACTACAAGTCCCCACCACCACCATCACCATCTCCTCCTCCACCATACTACTACAAGTCCCCACCACCACCATCATTGTCTCCTCCCCCTCCCTACTACTACAAGTCCCCACCACCACCATCGTCGTCTCCTTCCCCTCCCTACTACTACAAGTCCCCACCACCACCTTCGCCTTCTCCTCCCCCACCCTACTACTACAAGTCCCCACCACCACCATCGCCTTCTCCTCCCCCACCCTACTACTACAAATCACCCCCACCACCATCACCATCTCCTCCACCACCGTACTACTACAAATCCCCTCCCCCACCATCACCATCACCCCCACCTCCTTACTATTACAAATCACCCCCACCACCATCGGCATCTCCTCCTCACGATCCCTACTTCTACAAATCCCCTCCACCACCACCACCATCACCTCCACCACCCTACTATTACAAATCCCCCCCACCACCATCACCATCTCCTCCACCACCATACTACTACAGGTCTCCCCCACCACCATCACCCTCTCCTCCACCACCTTACTACTACAAGTCTCCCCCACCACCATCACCCTCTCCTCCACCACCTTACTACTACAAGTCCCCACCACCACCAAAGTCGTCTCCTCCACCTCCTTACTACTACAAGTCTCCTCCTCCACCATCGCCATCTCCCCCACCTCCCTACTACTACCACTCCCCACCCCCACCATCCCCATCACCACCTCCTCCCTACCTCTACAAGTCTCCACCACCACCGTCATCATCTCCTCCACCTCCCTATCACTACACATCTCCACCACCACCATCACCATATCCTCCTCCACCTTATGTCTACAAATCCCCACCACCACCAACTCCCTCTCCCCCTCCTCCCTATGTCTACAAGTCCCCACCACCACCGGTTCACTCACCACCACCTCCCTATGTCTACAAGTCCCCGCCACCACCATCTCCCTCACCACCTCCTCCCTATGTCTACAAGTCCCCACCTCCCCCTTCACCATCTCCTCCTCCCCCATACCTCTACAAATCACCACCCCCACCCCTGAAATCACCTCCACCCCCGGCCTACATCTACGCTTCTCCACCACCGCCAACTCACTACTAAGCTCCAAAAGCTTAGCCATTCACCAGCTCCAGTCATGTAAGTAATTCATATTACAAATTTATGCAATTTATAGCAAGTATGTATATATATGATCGAGACATGGGTCAATTCAATTGTAATCTCATTAAGTTTCTTATGTTCATTTGCAGCTTTTACTTTCAAAAACAGAATAAAGGAAGGGTCCATGAAAAGAGGATTCAGAAATCAAGCCTCCAATATCCCTAGTCAATTCAATAAGGTCATGAACATTGCATTTGAAAGCTTCAATCTTTGTATTTGGGACCAGTTTACTTCTACTTCTCTGGTGGCCACCCTACACATTTTGCTGCTTCTATTTTTAAGTGGGAGTGGCAAAGGCTTAGGGAGACAAATCAAGATTAGGAAGTGAGTTTGTTAATTTATCTAGGGCTTGGAAGTGGGTGAAACTATCTGCTGGTTGTCATTTTTTCCTTTAAGGGTTGTCTATTATATAATTTATTATATAGAGGATCATATGGTCTTGTATAATTGATCATTTATTTATTATGAGTTATTTATTTGTACCTTGCGCTCAATTGTTTCTAATAAAGGTATACATTCCTGTCACAATTTTTTTTCCCTCTCCACCCGAGATATTATTACATGGTCCCGGGACCATTGATCCCAATCAGTTACTAGTTGATATGAAAGCAAATATTTGAAAAGCTGACACATTTACTAACGTGTCAACTAGTAATCAGCCCGAGACCGGTACCATGTAACCATGCCTTTATAAGAGGTAACTCGATCCACACAAAAGTACCAAGCTACTTTACATACAAAGTACCTAAAATGCACTGATCAATCTCTCTCGATCTCTCTCTCTCTCTCCGCGCATGCTGCATGTGTGTGAATTGTTTTTGCATGATCATAGACTTGTATTCATAATATGTGCTGTAGTGAGTCAGTGACTAATCAGCTTTTTGGTTTGTGCATGCTCTGTCCTTTCTGTTATAAGTCCACATTGAATTCAAGTTAATTTTAATTGGACAGCATGTATGTGACCAAAAATGATTAAAGACAATACATGGAACTCATAGAACCTATATGATTGTACAGAAATTAAGAAAGTTGGGTGAAATTTTGAGTTTGACCTTGGATCATGGTTATTGAAATTACTTACATTTGGACTGCCATTCAAAAATACCATTCTATGTGGATAACTCAATAATAGAGTACAAAACTTATAAAAATCTTTATATATAAGATCCCTAAAATCCTTATATTATATGTGAAAATTTTCTGAAATATATGTACTTTTTGGTAGTTATATATAGATTTATACTAGGATTGACTTAGGAAGTGATTGTCTATCGGTGACCTCTGCGATAGAATAAGTAGAGGACTGGAGAGGCTGTGGTTTACCTGAATGTCACATAATTTTTTTTTTTTTTTTTTTGGTGGGGGAGGGAGTATTGTCTATCGTTGACCTCTATGATAGTATCAATTGAGCACCAGAGAAGCGGTGGTTTACACTACATCAAATGTCAACTGTTCTGTTCCACTTATCTCTAACTCGTGAACTTAACCAATACAAAAAACTATACACTAATACCTAACTTTTTTGATTCGGTGATTCAATCTGTTTCTTAAAGTAATGGAAGGTGTTTCCAACCAATCAGGGTATTAACCTCTTCAATTATGTCTAAATACTCTGTATCAACACAACTAAACCAAGAACACATGGACCGCTTGTTTTTGAAGAGACGTCACATCATTATATTCATACAATCTACAATTCCTCTCATGCCAAATCACATAAATTGCAGCAGAAAAGGCCAGTTTATTTACCTTAGAAACAGAATGGACTTGTCCTAAACAGAAGCCTTTGAAACTCGATGTCAACTGATTTAGGATTCTGCATCAACAGGAAGCAAGCAACACCATTTGAGAAATGTTTAGCTGGAAGGGATGATTAAATGGGCTAAAATTGAAAGCACCTAGTAATAACATCTTGACTGAAAATCTTCAAAAGCCACAAACAACTATACAAAAAACTTTAAGCACGTGGCTGGGAGTTAGTTTGGCAGACCTCATCTATCTCCAGGTAACAACAGAGCCCAGAGCCCCTTTTTGTAGAAGCAATTTACCAAACCATAGAGCTTGAGCTTTGAAGCTTGTCCCCATGTCAGCTTTAAAGCTTCTAAAAGCCAATATATGTAAGCTGATCCCAAAAATCTATAACAAAACCATATGCAATTCGTTAATGTTAATTAAATTATGTCAACAAAACAACCTGTAAGCACTTAAAAAGAAAAAAAGAAAGAAAAAACAAGACCTGGTCATTAAGATATCATATTGCCATTCTGCGAATTGACCGTCTGTCAGGGACCACAACTCCAAAGAACCTACTGTTAAAAATTGGCAATGCAACAAAACCTTGCATCTACAGCCGATTGCTCAAGACAAATTTTGAGCAGATTGTAAATACTGACAGCTCAAGCGTCTTGTTGACTTATGTTGAATACATTCTTTTGTGTACTTAGGCATTTAAAAGTTCTTCAATGCTTTAGTTGACAATTTAAATTCATCAGAGCTTTTTGGTGCTGATAAAGGCCAAAGGTTTGGCAGATTTGAAAGAAATGCAGCCACCACAAAATATATATATATATATATACAGAATTGTTCTCTTGCTCCCTGGTGTGCAAGAAAATGCATGCACACTTGAAATAGTAACCGTCAGATTCTATTTGGCAGTTAAAAAAGTAATTTATGTTTTTATATCCAACGGTGATGTTTTAATTCGTGTATAAATTCCCTGCACACCAGTGAGCAGGTGAACAGTCCTATATATATGTATATCAGAATCAGAATAAAATTTACATGCAGAGGGCATAGGTGAACAGGAAAGAAAAACAGTAGGAACCCTAAACATGACCATCTCATGGGGAAAAAAAATGGATATCCAAAAGACCACCCATAAAAGCCAGCAACATTTGAAAAGAGAGCTCTAATTTTTTTCAATTTTTTTTGTTAAGATTCCATTGAAGAGCACTCAAGAGGGGAATGCATCCCATATACATCCGAAGAGCCAAAAATGAAAAAACTATACCCTCAAGCTAGCTATCCAGGAAAACAATAGAAGCTCCATAGATTTACAATTTCTCCCCTGTACCCACAAAAATAAAGAGCTACCACACAGTATTTCTCCATCCCAATCGGAGTCTCCACCCATCAAAAGACCTATTTTATTCCCTCCACAAGGCCCATCACAAACACAAAGTGGGGACTCTCCAAGCATCTCTAACTTGAGATCCCACTAAGCAACCTCTCCGAACCCCAAAAATGTTTTTCATGGAAGCTGGCAAGACCCATGAATCACAAAGATGGTACATACCATGAACCAACTGCCTCTAGCCACGGGGCAATGCAAACGGAGATGATCCCTCGACTCCACATTCCTCTTGAACATACAGCACCAGTTAGAGACAATCCGACAACTTCTCCTTAGGTTGTCAATCGTCAATATTCTACCAAGAATTGCCATCCAACCATAGAAAGCCACCTTTAAGGGGGCTTTAGTGCGCCAAATTGCCTTCCATGAAAAGGAAGGCCCCTGAGAATCTAACAGTCTACCATAGAAAGATCGAACCTCAAACCTCCTGTGACAAGAGCCCATCTATGTCCACTCGTCCATGCCCTCTCCACAAACACACTGCTGATATAATACCACCAGAAACTCCAGTGTCCTCCATCTCTCAATTCTGCAAAGGCCTCTTAAGAGAAATCAAGAAATCCTCATGTAATCAAGAAATCGCCTGAAGTTCTACAGAAATCAGTTGTCAATTTCTTCAGCAAGTACAAGAAAACACCCAACAGAAGCCAGTAACATTGGAAAAAAGAGCCCAACTAAGCACATCCTCATGTAATTAAGAGGTTGCCTTTACTTCACAGACAATTATGAATCTGTTCAACAAGTGATTGAACCAGAATTTAGTTGTGATTCTCAGACCAAATAGAACAATTGTAAGGAAAATGAAGATCGATAGTCAATGATGAATAATAGATCAGAGGTCGAGTTCCTCAGAGCTTGGAGCAGGGCATGAGCAGAAACAAAAACTTCATGTATAAGATCGGTGCAAAGACCGCACTACCACTTCTCCAGAAAATCAATACACTGATCAATTTTCTCTTCTTAATATCTGCGCTAAGTGGTTGCCTCTTATTTGAGTATGGGCATGGGTTTGGTGCTTTTAGAACTTCAATACAATTAAACAAATGTATTCCCATACACCCTCGCTTACCAGCTGTTCATTGGCTCTTGTATTCTCTTTCACTTTCAAAGAAGAGAAAAAGAAGTGGCTCGGTTAGCAAACAAGATCAAGAAGGTGAACCTGGTGTCTAACACGAATCGCTGAGAGAAGATTGATATGCCCGTAGATTGCAGGGTTCACCCCCTTAGGGATTAACCACTGACTTTAGCAACTATCTTACTTGATTGAAGAAGAAAGTCATTAACTCTGACCTTATATACAAGAATCTTGGCTGAAATCTTGTACCAACCAAAAGTCAGTGAAATTCTTGCAAAACTTGGAGAGGAAGCTATTGAAAGACATCCTGTAATAGGCGCCCAGGAACATGTGTCACAACAAGGTTCAAAACCTAAACAGCCCAAATAATAGGTAATTTCTCCATAGATCAGTTGAAGCCATTTCTTCGGACGAGCATAACGTGTACGCAGTGGAATGCTCCACTAACTGAGGCTTTTTTCAATCCCATACCACATAGGAAGCATTTGTCCTGTATTGGTATTGGTTGAAGACTCGGGAAACCAGAAGCTATTCCCGTTGACTCGGTTGTACTACAAAATCATTAGTGGCTACTGACCCCTCGGGGGAGATAGGAGAGGTCAACAGCAAATAGTGGATACTTCTTATGCAATCGAAACACAAGGGATGTTCTTTCAACTTCCAATTTTTATTTTTATTTTTCCAAAAGCACCAAATATCAATTCAGTGATCAAGTATCTCGACCTGCCTGACAGCACCTAGCTGATTATGAAGTGCAACCATAATGAACTACATGCAGATTACAGATGGGAATTAAGTTACGATTGTTTGACCTTGACAACTCATGATATGAAGTGAGAAAATCACCACAGCTCCTCAAACTTGCTGGGTGGTCAGTAAGAATGCAACTTTGTCATAAACTCTTAACTTCCAAACAAGCCAAAGCATGAAAATCCTCAGTGAAACCCTACACTCCCAAATAATTTGCTTAATGTCTTCTAGATTAAAGGTATATTGTCCTAAGTGACACTTGAAGTAAAAGTTGAACAGTAGGAATACATACAATGACTAAATGGGGAATTTTAAGGAAAATATGCGCGCGCGCGCGCGCACATATGCTTAGCTTACATGAGCACTCCTCCCCAAAGGGGAGATGCATGGTTCAAGCCACATGGGGCAGTCCCCTGTGTGTGTGCTGTTGCTTACTTACAAAAAGGAAAAAGGAAGAAGAAGAAGTGTCACTTGTTCTCTTCCTTTGGCTCCATCTAGCGTCAAACCAGTGTGGCAGTGTCATATTGAAAAAAACATGTACTTTTTAAAAAAAATTCATGAAATAATACTAAATTATGTGCCATTCTGTACAAATAATTTTGTCATATTCATTATAATCTCAATTTATACTTACATAACTAGCATTAAAGAAGCTTCTTTATACATACATAACTTGAATTACAGATTTTTTTTTTTTTTTTTCTCAGACACATACTACTTCAATTTTTCCACCCAAATGGTGTGATAATGTCTCAATATGCAACCAAATCTCATATACTTCACAGTTATTATGCAAGAGGCATAACCAAGACATGCAATGGCCCGAATTCAGTTTGCTCTTTTTCTTACATCTAAAGACAGTTGAAAAAGGATAGGAATGAACCCCAACCAACAATGTTCAACATTCAACCAATCTAACTTAGCTTGAGACAGTATTGAATAGAACCATTAAAAAAAGGACACATCAATTTTTCAACAAAAAAAAAAATTCTTGCTTTTTTACCAAATTCTTAGTTATTAAATTTCTTCCTTCCAGTAATATTTTTATTTTTTAATTTTTTTTTCAGATTGAATTAAAATATTAACCAAAACCATTTAAAATGTTAATCAATAACAAGCTTGACAAAGAAAAAAAGGATTGATGCTTCAAAACAAATGTCTCAACTTTTGTCTCTTTATCAAAATGATTCCAAAAGTTTCAACTTGTCCACATTTTCATCCAAGCACTACATATCCAAAACTGAAGGTTTAAAATTTGGAATTATTCATATTCATAAAGTAACAACTTACAATTTTTATCAGGTGTCAGCCAAATAAAGAAAAAGATTTAAGATGTAGGCTATGAGAACTTATATGCATACTTAAAATGACTGCTAAATTCCTACAATCTAGTAAATCAGTTCTAGCTTAAAACATGGGACGGGAGTCAACTATTTCAACAGTTTGTAACAAGATCTGTTAGAATTAGAAGCTACCACATCAATAATGTTTTTTTTTTTTTCCTAGTTGATACTCACACACACTTGCCTCTTCTGAGACTTGAACCCCTGACCTTCCTTTGGAAGGTAAGAGGCTGATACCACTAGGCCACTGGCCCATTGGTTCATCAATAGTGTTTCGATGAAACTGTGGACAAGTTTATCAAAGATACTTGCAATCATCAATAGTAATCCGCTTCACCAATCACACATGAAATTACACAGGACACAAAGTAATCTCAAACATAAATGCAATAAACACCAAGTGATTAATAAACTAGTCAACTAGACACTATTTGTGAACCATATTCTGTGGATACCAAAACCAGACTGCTAGGACTACAACTACTACTACCATCACTAAGGTAATACAATGTACGAAATCAAATTCTGTCCATTTTTATTTTCATGACTCGTATGATTGGTGAAGCGGATTCAAATTCTTAAACTTATCAAAGATATTTTTTTAAGATACAGTAAAACATTTAACATATATTGGTTCTCTTAATACTCGGACATCTATCATTCTCTCTAGCTATGCTGTAATTTTTGCTTTCAAAATCTCAAATACCTTAGCATAGTATACCTTGTCCATTCAAACTTTTTGACAGTAATCACCTCTTCTGCGCAATTAAGATGAAAAGAAAATAGTGTGGGGGGAGTAGATTTTACATATAATGATTTCAGAGCAAATTTAATTAACAAATACTTTTGCACTGGTCCAAAAATGTTGAAGAGCTCATTCAATATAACAGTGGTTTTTGGCAAAATAATATCAGTTAGCTCCAAGAATCCCTGGCACTACGCAATACTATTTATGATCGCAGATGTTAAGAGATATCATACGAATAATTCAAAGTATGCACTATGTTTCGCAAATAACTAATCGAACTTGTGCAAAATAATCATATTAAATGCATTCATGAACAGTTCACGTCCTCGTGATAATATATTTACAAACTCACTATCTATGGAGGATAGGATAGAAGACAAGGAGTGAAAAAAAGGTGGATAACATCCAACTCACAGTTTATCATCTAAAGAATAACTATTGATAATGTATGAACATTGAAATTCAGTACGGAGGGAGGGAGGGGAACGGAAGGAGTATTAGTATTGTAATATTCTGCAGAACTTCTCTACACAAGCACTATCAAGATGATTTTTCTTTAAAGAAGATGGACAGGCTACAAGCCACATGCAACAAGTATCCGAACCTCATATGCACTATAGTGACCAACTTATATAATTACAAATAACCATTATGCACAATGAAACAACAACCATGGCAGACCATAAAATTGTAGACATCTAAGTTGTTGTTTGCCAACTCAATTCAGAATTTAATGCTGAATAAATAAAATGCTTGTGTAATTAAGACGTTAGCCCTTGGGAGTCAACTCTCAAGTTCATCAATTCTCAATTTTCAATTTTATTGAACTGACCTTAATGTACAGAAAAAATATATGAACCACAAGTCAAGCATGAAAAACTTTCCGGAAAGTATCAATAAGTATACATGAGTGAAAACTTCAGATTCTTACTTTATCAAGCCTTTACTTTCTTAAATCTGTACATTAGGGACTCTATAGATTTTTGTATCCTGGAGCTTTCTGCTTGTGGCACTGCCTGAGATGCTAGGTGCAGACTATGGATCCCACGACCTAAACTAGCAATTGAGGGAGCCACTGGAAAAGATTCAGCGACACATTCAATTCCATCTCCACAAACTATCAACCCTGAGCATGCAGCAATGCTACACCCAAATGTGGCCCATGGCAAAAAACCAATTGGCTGAACCCGTCGTTTCCTCATTATTTCATAGAATGCTGTTCTCATGGCTGAAAAGCTGGTCTTCTCGGCAGAGGCTATAACACTGTGAACCACAGCTCGGATTTTCTCAGCAGAAGCAGCTGCCTTCAGGGCAGATGTCGTTTTGGCTCCAGAGCTTGCAATTCCGGGGGCTACCAGTTTTGATGGACCAATACCCTTGCTTAGGGCAATAGCAACAGCCTTTTGGGTTTGTGTCATAATAAGTTTAAGTGAAGCAGGAACTTTGAAAGTAGCAACTTTCATGAAGGTTGATGCAGGAACAACTTTAGATAGGGACGAAGCTCCTAATACGGCTGTTGCTCCAGCCCCAACTGCCACTACTGGCTTATTACTAAACAATCCCTTTCTGCCATTGTGGTTTGATATTTCACCTTCACTTTCACAATTAGTGACTAGCTCTTCAACCCTGTCTTTGACATCCTGAGGAACGGTAGTGTTCCAATGTTTTCTAAGACCAGCTAAGCCACTAGCATCAACTATTGCCACTACGGATTTGAACTTCTTAGTCTGGCTTCTGAGGGCCTGAGCAAGAAGAGCATGCGACTTGTCCTCAACAGGAAGCTCTGAAAATTCAGTTGTAGTTGAGCCCATGTTGTTTATAGGTAAACGGCCTGCATTATTTAGAGCGATTCTCAATCCCTCTACCGCAATTCGAAAAATATAAACTTCCGATATGAGTTGAGTGCTAACAATTTCTCCCCTGTTCACATCATGAAGCATCTTCTGTGCATGAGCAAGTCCCCTTCCAATTGAGGGGATATCCAAAAATATATTATGTAAATCATAAAGTAAAGGATAAATGGATTGGGCAAATGATGGAGCCTCATAGTTCACTCTTGGCTGAAGCTCTCCAGAACCTGCCTTTAGAGCAGATCTTGAATAATTTAAATACGAAGATAACGATTTCACCATCTGCAAATGAAGATCATCTGTAAGATAAAACCTCCGTGAACTTGAGGGAATTGTAGAACCCAATTTCTGTGGAGCCAAACTACTAGGCTGTAAAGCTAAAGCTTGAAACTTATTCCCCGAGTCAGCTTCACCAGAGGGACTGCAGTTCTCACTAGATTTCACAAATGGTGATTCAAGCAATAAAAACGATGAACCAACCTCCCTGGCGGCTCTTTTGGCAGCTAAAAAATGCCCGTGAAAGCTAATCCCGAAAATCTCTTTCAAGACCAAACTCCCAGCAACATTTTCATACTTCTCTTTATTTATTTTATGAACAAAACACCTTCTTAGAACTTCAAACGACGATGTTGGAAACGGATCATCCTTTTTATTCCAAAATTCAATTTCCTCGGCCTGAATTTCATTCACCAACGAATTACCCACTTGAGCCACAACAGCATCAGGCCTAATTTCTCTAATAAGACACTCAGCATCCCAAGCTGATCTCTCAGACAAATTCTGAACACAAAGTATATATATAACAGCCTGCGATTCCGGTTCACGAATGGCAAAGACAAACTGTTTCGTGTGTTCGGGCACTGAAAGTTTCCGAACTAACCCATTTGATACTTTCAAGTCATCAAACTTGAGTGCCGAAAAAGGCCATAAATTTCTCACATAATGCACAATTGCAGTTGCCATCACAAATACTATTGATAAACAGACTTATTAGCTACATCACAAGAATAACGAATAAAACCAATCCAAACCCTAGAGCTCAATTAGGGCACGGCACACCTTTTAATTCGATCAATCTCAGTTCAAAAGCAAGTCACTCACTCCAGTGATCTCAATAAACGGGCGTCGTAATCATCAGAGCCAAATTTATCAAAGATTTCTCGGGAAAGTGAGAGAAAATTGGAAGGAAACAAAGAATCCAACTAAATAACAAAAATTTACAGTATATAGATTATAGACAAGCCTGTAAATATATATAGATTGGATTGAATGTGTTATTCAAGTACCTGATGTGGAGCGAAGAATCGAATAAGAGAGGGAGGAGTTTTGGGGTCGATTTGGGGGTAAGAAATTGAAATCGAACAATTTTTTTTTTTTTTTTTTTTATGAGTTCGTCTCCTTCTCTGGAATGGTCTCCGAGCTCTTCAATAGTTGAATGTGATGAATATTCTCAGAAAAGTACTGGACCGGGTTGGTCTCATCGTTTACGGTTTTGTGCAGTGAGAGTTCTAGTGCGTTCCCGTCTTAAGTGGGTCCATCAGAACTGTGCCAGATGGCACACATTAGATGGGCCTGACACCCACCGATCGACCAAATCCCACAAAAGTATTTGGATTGAATTTAGAAAATAAATTAGATTGGATTTGAAATAAAATCCCATTTACAAATCTAAAGCCCATCAAATCCCTTGTTCCAAACACAACGTTTCTTCAATCTAATATCCAACAATGATGTAATATTTGTGTAATAAGTTTATATCAACCACATAATACTCATGTTATTCAAATATTGATCCAAATGGAGGGATGAATTGGGCGTACCATAATTATGAGATATAATTAAATTATATTTTTAAACTAATAGTTAATTAAAAATAGTTGTAATATAATCAAATACAAGCTATTGAGATAGTTTCTAATTTGATTAATAAGTTTATGCAAATGATTCTATTTAAGAAGAAAAAAAAAAAAGTAATTAATTATGCACTGATATGGAGTTTTTCAATGATCAAAGACGAATTCCTATATGATAAGACTACAGAGTGTTGAACCTCGAGAACCGTGTCAAAATTGTTAAGTATATAATTGATTCTAAGAGAAAGATTGATTAGTGATTTTATTAGTTCTAATTGCAAATGAAATTAAAAATCGAAAATAAGCTAAGTTAAGGAGAATAGATATCAATAGAATGAGAACTTAGGGATTAACTTCACCAGTTGCCTCATAACATGATTAATTCGTATTAATTTATGTATATTCAGGAATTGTGGCCAAAAGCTCACTTCAATTTGATTAGAAAGATGTATTGGATCAAACACTAAGTATAACTCATCTTCGGTTGGCACGAATTGTCTACCTAACTACTCTAATATACGGTATAGTACAACTCGTCTTTCCTGTACCTGAATTATCAAATCACTCGTTCATATATTCAATGAAAACCATTATATGATCATTACCTTTAAAATCACAAAAAATAAAAGTAATTTTATTTCAATCATAATAAAACCAAGTCTAAGATAAAAGTATGATTCCATAAAAACTGAATTTAAACATTAAAACCCAATTACTTAGTACAACTAAGTCAATTACTCATAATCATGCAATCAATATACATAATTCAAAAAAGATCCCCAAAATTAAATAATTAAACCATGTTACTTGGTTAGGGTTTCATCAATTTCTTAAGAGATGATTTAGCTACTTATGGAGAAGGTAGAAATCTTCAATAGTATGATAAACACCATCTCCATGGACTGTAAATCTGATTGGAATCACCTTCTTCAAGCTTCAACAATGAAAAATTGTTCCAAGCCACCAATACTCTCTTGTGTGTGTTATCTCCCTTAATTAGTCATTAATTATAACCTGTATCATCCAAAATGAGTCATAAGCTCGTGCTATTGATTTTGGAGAAAGTTCGGGCCATGTAGGATTTGAAGAGAGCAAAAATCAGCAATCACAAATTTAAGATTTGTTATCATGAAAAGTGATTCGAATCACATGGGGTTGCGATCGAACCACGTGTAATGTGGTTTGAACCACTTTGGCAGAATTTGCACGAGCTTCTGTTTTGATTGGTGGTTCGAACCACTTTTTGGGAGATTGAGCCACTTTGCTGGAAAAATATATTTTTGATTCATTGGAGCTCTAGCTTGGTCCCGAGCAAGCCGGTACCTTCCTCGATCATTGGAAACATCATCATAGGCTCGAAAAAAAATAAAATTGACCGATTTTTGAAGGCGAACGCGTGAAAATATCCAAAGCCAAGTTTTAATCCCCATAGACATGCCTCAAATAGTTTGTAAAAGTTTGTTGATGAAATGAAAAGCATACCTATTTCAAAAAAGAAAACATGGGTAATAGTAAAATGGATATAACCTTCTTTATATATTTTTTATTTTATTTTTTGGTAAAGTGGATACATTGTGTTAGGAAAAAAAACAAAGCGAAGTAAAGTTAGCATTTAGCGTTATACAATTTGCCTTTTTATGTTGATAATGCAAAATATAACTTTAAAAAATAGCACCCGTAATAAAGGCAATGTCGGATAGACAAAACATTTTGTGTGATAGACAAAAACAGAAAGATGTTAAATATGTAAAGTTAGGGCCTGTTTGTTTGGTGTTTTACTTTGGTGTTTTTGTTGCAGGGCTTCATTTCAGGCCCAAAAACATGTTTGGTAACACTTGTTTTGTTTTAAACAGTACAAAATATTGTTTCAAACAGTGGCCCAAAAGTGAAACACTAAAATGGTGTTTTTTGTTGTTTTAATACTGTAGCCCAATAAAAAGAACTGTAGCGGATGAAACAGCCGGCCCAATCTGTTTAGCTATATAAACTTCACAGTAGACACAAAAATTGCAGATCTGTCTCACTCGGGTACAACCGAGTAACCGACAACGAACCAACATCTCAGTAATCAACCACGGATTCATCATCTTTTTCAAATTTGGTAAGATTTATTTCAACTTTTAGGTTTTGTTAATGGATGTTGATGTTCTTTGATCGGTTAGTATTTCAGATGTCTTTTGTGGTTTACATGTTTTAGGGTTGTAATTAGTATTCAGTGTTTTGGGGATGATTTAATTGTTGGTTTGGTTTTGAGGATACTATGTCGCTCTTTTCGTATTGGCATTGTCTGCAAGAATCAAAACATATTATTACCTATAAATAATGCCTCCATCTCTATTCTCGTTCTTAGACCTGAACTTGCCCACTCTCTCTCTCTCTCTGCAACTGGGTCGATATTTTTGATTCAGGGGTTGTATTTTTTTTCTTGCGACCTAGTTTGGAGGATCCTAATCGGAGGGACAGTACAGTAGCCGAACCGAAGATTTCTTTGTGTGTTGGCGTCTTCATCATTGACGAGTTGTCTGCCATATCGTGAAATTTTTTATCTGTTTCTTCATGCCGCGACCTCATTCTTTGCTATGGCCGGAGTTTCCTTGTTGTCGTCGCCCTTTGTTGTGTCCCTAGCTTCATCACCGGTCGTCTTCTTGCTTCATACATCGGCGCAGGTGTTTCAGTGGCTGCCGTCTTTTGTTTCTAGCCGGTAGTTGCAGCTTTCGTTAAAGAAGAAGAAGAGTGGTTGTGCAGTGTTTGGCTACAGGGGTCTGCTATCCCAAACCCAGAGAAAAAGAAAGAGTTGCAGAGTGATTTTTGAGAGAGAGAGAGAGGGGTCTGCTATTCCAAACCTCGCTCTAGCATTACCTTGCAAAATTATATATATATATATATATATATATATATATATATATATATTTATTTATTTGTGTGTCCAAACATATTTTACATGTTTTTGTTTTTGACATATCTATAGCAAAGTATAGTTCCCAAACGTACTTTCGAATGTGTTCCAAAACACCCTACTACAAAAACATTGTTTCTGTTTTAGTCAAAAACAAAACACCAAAAACAAAACGCATACCAAACGGGCCCTTAGCATTTGGCGTCATGCAATTTACTTTTTTATGTTGACAATGTAAAATTTAATATTACAAAAATAGCATCCATAATAAAGTTAATGTCCGATAGAAAAATCATTTTTATTGAGATTCTTCAATGTTCAACAGATAACACAAGAAAGTAGAGCTTTCCACAATAAAAATAAAATAAAATAAAATAAAATAATGTGAGAGATTGAGAGAGAATGGTGATAGATGTAACAGAGAATAAACTTTATCTTTCTCATTAATTAATAATATCTTGTTACATAAAAAAAATAATTTATTTTAGTGAGTCTTATCATTACATTACATTATTTTATAAGCTGATATTACCATATCATTACAATTCACGCAATTAAATTTTTTATTTCACGTTATAGAAAACTTTGTACAGTCAAAATTTTGGAACCCTCATTTGTAAGTAAAAAATATCATTGTAATCACAAAACGGTAAATACATCCATTAAATAGTAACGTTAAACAAAACGACTTGCTTTCGACATTTTAAAGAGTTGCAAAACGGTAACATTTTATGGCATAAAACATAGCACTGGTCCCTTAATGATAAAGGACCCAGATTCTTTACGAGGTTTTATTTAAATGGGAAGGTGTATTAAAAAATATAAAAATTATAAATGAAACTATATATATATATATATATATATATATATATATTAGAGAAAACAGTCTCAATTTGAAACAATTTTCAAATACTTGAAAAATACTAAAACTATGTTCTGTTGAATTAATACAAAGTAATTATAATTCAAATGTTTTTAGTTAAACTTCAAACTAAAATTATTTTCGATTATAATTTAAACTTCAAACTAAGTTTATGGCTCAAAAAATAATAATCTTATACTAAGGCCCAAATTATTAGATCTGTCGTCTGTCACACGGGGACTTAGACAACTAGCTATAATTATATATATATATTTTTCACAACTAGCTATAAGTGAACTATACCCATAGCCGGTCTTGATAGCTGCTGGGAAATTCAACACTATTTTATAAAGAGGATATATGGTGGTGCACAATGGGTCTCAATGACCATGAAATATTTGGCATGCATTAAAAAATAATAATAAATAAATAAAAAAAAGTATAGATTGGCTCTCATAGTTTTGGGCATAATCAACAACCATAGAAATTTCATTCAAAATAGCACTAACTTTGACGTAAGCGAAAGCGATAAATTTGTTCACTAGAAACGATTTACTTAAAATTAATTGGTGTTTTCAATCCACGATTTTAGAAAAATCTAATATTTGTATTGATAATTGAATAAATAAAAAATAATTCTGCACTTGACAGTACACATATGGGTGGTAAAATTTGACAAGACCCGTCAACACGATACTAGTTAATTGAGTTTTGGTTGACCTTAAATGGGTTCGAATTGTAAACGGGTCGATACGAAAAACTCGTTTATTTAATCGTGTCGTGTTTGAGTTGAGGGGTTCAACCCGTTTATACACGTTTAACCATAAGTAAATTTCTATTTAATTTACAAAATTACTATCTAAACTAGTGTCTTATAATTTACTCTTTTGTAAACTAGAGATTATTTAGTAATTTGGTTGAATTAAAACTTATATTTTTCTAGTATTTATTGTTTATTGAGTATTATTAATAATTTAAATAATATAATGTTTTGTTTTTGTAAATAGGTCATTAAACGGGTTATACGTATAACCCGTTTAATAAACAGATCAGGTTAGTGTTGAGAATTCTTCACACGATTATTAAACGGGTCATATTCGGATTGAGCTGTTTAGTAGAATACTCTTAAGTCAACACGTCACGTTTATGACCCGCAAACACGAATTGTCATCCCTAAGTACACATATTTATAATAAAATAAAATCTAACACTAGAAGAAACTAAATAAAACTAAACTTCTTATAAAAAATTATATAAAAAAAAATAATAATAAGAAACTAAACTAAAAAATATATATATATATAAAACTTAAAGTGTCCTACATCAGTCCCTTCCACTTGAAAAAAAAAAAAAAATTCGATCTCGAGTTTCACTACGGATCATATACGAGTATGAACAAAATTCGATACCATTGATGACTTAACCATGGTGCTTCATAAACTCCCTTCTTGGTTGTCCAATTCCAAACAATCACCTGTATATTTATATTTTCTCTTAGCAACTCAAAAGAAAATAAATTATGTGGGTGATAATTCTTGATCTTACGAGGAAAAAGGAAAATTAACTTGTTCAAATCTAATTTATTAATCTCTTTTTCATTGTCACTTACCAAACAAAGAAATGTGTTACTTTCTTTTTTATATTATATATATATTTTTATAGGATATATAGCCAATGATATAATTTTGAGGAACTTTTGATCACATTGCATTGGGTGAGTCTTCCGTAAGCATTAATGAGATGAGGTGGTGTTGTAGTAGGAGGACAAAGGACATGATCATACGCTTCGACTATAGATGGAGTCTGTTCATTCCGCACACTGGTTTCACAATCCATAATTTCCTCCCCTTGTCGAATTTCTCACAAACCGTAAGCTTTCTCCTCCAAATTGATCTCAGAAATCATATTTTTAGAAATCTTCTCAAGTACATCAGCTATGACTAAAGTAGGAATAAATTCATTATCTTCAACTGAAGGTGGTAAAACAACAAAATTCTTCTCATGATTAATCTCACTCACAGTAAGGTGGAAGCAAAAGACGTTTCATTTTCAAACAACATAATACGGGTGTTTTTCTTTGTTGTGCAAGAGAAACTCGCAATTGCTACCACAAATTTAAAGCTATTCCTTCAAATTTATATGCAACCAGTACCACCTTATTTTCCTCTTTAATTTCCATATAATCAAAGAATCTCCCAAAATATTCTAGTGAATCTAAAAAATCTTCAACAATAAATAAACAATCAAAATTAGGAGGAAAATTCCTAGGATCAACTTTAACGTTACACATCCTATTGTTCTCGTGATTTTGCTCCAACTCAAACCTAGCAAGTATTGCTTGAATATCTTGTAACGTTTGCCGGGTTTCACGTTGATAACCTTGAAATTCAGCCCTAAAAAAAGCCACTCTCTGTCGATCTTCGTCGCCAACGAGGTTTGGCATCACCACCACATTCATCTGTCATTAGATCAGGAAAAGACAAGTCTCTGATACCAATTGGCATAAGCGAAAGCGATAAATTTGTTTACAAGGAATGGTTTACTTTGAATCCACAAAATAAGCTATTTTGAATCTACAAAACGAAGGATAATTTTAGAGAAATATGATATTTGTATTGATAATTGAATGCATAAAAATAAATTCTGCACTTGGCAGTACACATATTTATAATAAAATAAAACCTAACAATAGAAGAAACTAAAAATATAAAGAAAACTAATAGCAAAAGGAAAATAATTTCTCAAATAAACTAAATAAAACTAAATTTGTTATAAAAAATTATAAAAATAAAATAAATAAGAAATCTAAACTAAAAAAAAATACTAAACTTAAAGTGTCCTACGTAAAAGTTACCGACATATATTATTTAGGACAATACTTAGGTCCTCACTAGTGAGTATCTACAACATACTACTATTGATGTGGACTAACAATATATGGACATATCATCTTTAATTATCAAATCAAATAGGGTGGGTAAATACTCACTTACCAAATCATAAATAGTGATTTGTTTACTATCTATAATTTGATAATTAAAATAGGATGTGTTCGTTTATTATTGGTCCACCTCAATGGTCAGTATGTTGTACATCCTTAGTAGTGAATGTTGTACATCCTTACTAGTGAGAATCTAAATATTGTCCTATTATTTATTAGAAAATGATAGACATCATGAAGTGATTTTCATGATTTTATCACTAATGAGACATAACATAAATAGCTTTCCTTTTCAGAGCTAGAGAGAAACCCTCACTCAGATTTCCTTTTGGGAGCTAATTTCCTTTTACCTGAATCATTCATAGATTTCCTTTTGGAAGTGGCAGGCGGTAACTACACGGCTTAGTTCTAAACTTTTATTTCAATGCAGTGTATGTGTGAATGTATATATATATATGTATATATTGAAGCTATGTATAAATATCCATTGAGAGAATGATATGTAAATAATTCATATATGTTGGTATGAAATTATAACTCCAAAATTTAGGATTACGTTTGTATCTCTTAAATGAAATTAGTCATAGACAACTGTCTGATGCATTGAAGATGAGAACTACTTTGATGGGCTTCAATTAGGGACGGATCCACATTGAAGGGAGTGGGGGCAATTTCCCCCACTGAATATATATATATATTTAGTATTCTACTCTTATAATTTGTTTATTTTCAGTAATATACCCTTGGTCGGGTTCTAAAGTAGATTGGGTCTACTTTTCATCCCTTCGCTATAGGGCCGGCCCTGAGATTTCAAATATTTTGAGAGACCCTAGGCGAACTTTCAAATGTGAGGCCGTTTCACACGCGCAAAAAAGAATTATAAGAATGCAAAATTTTAACACGATGTTTTTAAATTCTATAACTAATATAATTGTGCCCCTGTGCATTGTGCATAAGACATCTAACTAATAACTATAAATTTATCACCACCAACAAATAATTGTGCGCCTGTACAATGTGCATAAGACAACTAACTAATAAATACAAATCTATCACCACCAATAAATAATTGTGCGTTTGTGCAGTGTGCTTCAGACAACTAACTAATAACTATAAATTTTTATCACCACCAATAAATAATTGTGTGCAAATTGTGCGGGTGTGTATTGTGTATAAGATAACTAACTAATAACAATAAATTTATCAATTAAAGAGTGCGAAATTTTCACAGACACAAAATAAAAAATGAAAGAGAACAGCAAATTGCAGCTTCTTTTACACTCATTGTTTATATAGCTACTAAAATTTGATGATTACATATGACAAAAATATGTGGTAATGAGGTGACTATATATATATATAGGAGGCTGAACTTGTAGTACTGAAGAAGTAGTGGGACTTTTAGGTTATATGTGTCATCCACTATCATATATAGTTTTCTCTTTCACTCTTTATATTAACTACACTGCACTTTGTGTGTGTGTTTTTTGGGAGACAATTACCCACAGTGATTGATTGATCATTGCTACAGAAGACCTGTGCAAATTAATAGAAAAAAACCATTAACTTTTGTTTTGTTAAAGCCTGCTCTTGATTTCCATGTGTTTGTACATTCTGTTGGCAAGTGCTTTAACAGTATTATTAACTGAAATTCTAGCTGAGCCAACTTCAAATAACATCAATAATGGTGGTATGTATCTTCATATAAAAATAAAATAAAAATACATAATTTGGCACTTTTAAGTATGAGCATAATTTAGAGATCGAAAAAGTTAATTATTATCTCAACCCACTAGAAGGGATCCTTAATTTTCGTTGGATTGAATGTGAAAACGCAAAAAAAATAAAGTGGAAAAGGGGTATGGTTGCTGCTGTTGTGAGATTGGAGTGGACTTTAGGGAGAGGGAAAAAAAAAAAGTTACCTGCCATAGATTATGGACTCGATCGCCATGAAAGACACATGTAGAAAGGCACACATTTATTAAAATACTAAGAGAACCATAATATATTCATTCAGCTTTTGATAGCCATTACACACACAGTGACACACACAAAACCCTAGCTACTTTTCAGTATTGGAACAAAGGTAAAGGCCCGAATCAAACGAACCAAAGTTAGAACAAATCAAATGATGAGATGAACGAAAGATAGAAACATATATAAAAGATCGATTCACGCAAAAGGAGAGAGAAGATACTGTCACAAGAGAGAGAGAGGATGAACATACCTTGTCACCTGAGGAGATAGCGGAGGCTGCGCCCTGCGGAGTGTCGAAGCAGATTGTGTCGTCTGAAACTTGCCCTAACTTATTTTTATTTTTTATTTTTTCCATCCCCTATGGGCCTCAAAATTTGAGGCCCTCTAAATTCTGAGGCCCAAGGCGACCGCCTTGGTAGCCTTGGGCCAGGGCCGGCCCTGCTTCGCTAAGCTTCTTTTCATATGCAATTCTGTAATGAAAATGATCCCAGGCTTTCGTTTGTCGAAGTATGCGCCCATTTATCAACTACTATAGAGGGAAAAGCCACCCTCCATAACACTCGGCTGCCTTTGGTAGACCTAATCTATAGAGACCAATAAAACCCAACACAATATGTGAAAATGTATTTTCTCAGTGTTACGGTTTTTCAATCCGTTTTCTTCTTCTTACAACAGTAAAACAACGCTTCCCCCTTGTAAGTTGCTCGCATTTATACACATAGTACCCGACACGTAGGTACTTTAATCCTTTCTTTCTTCACTTCAAATGCAAACTCCAAGAACAACGAGAACGGACAGAGGTTACGTGGAATAGACATGTATGTGAATATGCTCTAACTTATGAGGATAAGCACTTTGTGGCGGTCCCACCTACTAGAGAGACAAAGCTTTTCCACTTCTCGTTAAAATGAATAGCAAAAGTAAGGAGAAAAGCTAACAGGTCCTGTTTTAGGTCTTCGGGGAGGCCGATGCCGTGACATAGGGTGTCGCAACAAGTTCAGTTTTCAAACTTTTGAAAGCTTGCAAGCGGGTGAACGAATCACAAATCAAACTAGCCACTCGATTGATCATGAAATATTACATTTGCCTTCCCTAAAATTACTAAAAAAATGCACTATTACCTCTCAAAATTCATTTTTGCCTCCTTCTCTTACATTCTCGTTCCTTTCCTGACTTCAATATTGATCTCTGTGATAACTATGTTAGAGGAAGAACATGAATCTTTATACTTTTAAGCATAAAATATTGAGAGAGTAACTAGTTTAAAAAAGAAGAAAGAGTGACTTTTGTTAAAAAAATACGGCATTGTATTCATCACTCGTGATATAATTTTAATTTTTTTTTTCTTAAAGTCTATCACTGTTCTTATTTATTAAATATATTTTTTTATCATTTGTTAAAAATATACTTACGCAGTCAATTTTTGTTGACTTAAACCCTGAACTTCTTTGAACAGTTAAGTCACAATGTTCCAGATGACCAAGTTCCCATCTTCTTTAGGATTAATTTATTCAAATAATATTCTATAGTAAGATGTTATTTCTATGCTAAGACCTCTTAGCTGGCTTTTGAGGGCATCATATATGAGAGAGTTACACCTAACCTAATTTTTTTAAAATAACCTAATTTTCATATATAAAATTTCCAAAAACATGTGGACTACCAAAATTACATCACTGTCGGTGAGTTACCAAAGCTCACAGAAGAGGCCTATTGGTGTAAAACACCAATTGTGTATCCAGTAACATTCTTTGAAATTGAAATTACTTCGTTGCATAATTTTATTGGTTGGAGACTTTGATTGTATTTGTAGTAACAAGAACGCACACAGTCCGTATTGTGATTTTCAAGCCAAGGAAAGAGACGGCAGTGTAGAGAGAGAAAGTAGAGTGAGAAACCAGGGTCCAGGAGACAACACTGAGAATTCGGCTTCTAAAAACATAGGTCTCAACGCAGGTTCCCTCCTCTCTCTCTCTCTCTCTCTAAACACACACAACAACACACACATAGTTATACATATCGAATGTTCGCGTGCCCTTAATCTCTGTCTGTACTCGATTCGCGTTTGTTTCCAATTGCGTCTCTACAATTCCTTTGTTTACAGTCTTCTACAGTTGAGTTCCGGTGGTTGGAGACGTCAGATCTGACCGGCAAATCAACGTCCGGTGAGGTGGATGCTTTTTATATTGCATCTGATGCGATCGATTCAGAGATTGTATAGTTGAGGTCGGTGTTCGAATTTCAATGATTGTGTATTTGTTTCGATGGTTTAGTTTCTTAATTTTGTTGAGCAAAGCTCAATTTTGATTTTAAAGTTGTAACATCTGGTCTATTTATCAGTGTGTCATTTTTTTTAATGATTTGAATGTGTTTGTTAGAGAGAGATTGAATGTTTGATCCATTATGGTGGTAGAAATTCAGTGCATTTATGCAATTACAATGCGTTTTGCTACTTTATGTAGAGAATTGATCATGTTCTCATTATAAGATCTGGGAAGATTAAGATTATTATTTTTATATTAAGCAACCTTATTGAATTTTCTAAATTTTTGTTGTGTGTGCACGCATGCTTATAAGTTTTAGCTGATTCTGACCTTATAGCATTAGTTTATGTTTGGCAGTTGTGTTTAATATGTGGGCAACAATGAGTTCATAAATAGCTGTTGGCTAAATTATGTTTTGTTAACTTGTTTGATGGCAATCCTTTGTGTAGGTTCAAGTTTCTATAGAGTCAAATTTTGGGGTTTAATCGATCGAGAACAGGATGATAGAGTGCAGCGTCTGTCATTCCAAGTTGGTGTCCCCAACTACAAGAGCTGTGTCAAAGGCTTACGATCAACACAAGAGCAAGATATCATCAAAACAACGGGCCCTCAATGTCCTTTTGGTTGTTGGTGATTGTATTTTAGTGGGCTTCCAGGTAATTGTACTTTTCTGTTCATTTCCATCTGTTTACAGTAACACATCAATTATACCTCATAATGGACAATTTAGGAAAACATTGATATGCCATGTGGCATGCAATTCTGTTATAACTACATTCATTTGTTTGGCTCAAATTGTGGTCTTTAAGTTCAATTCAAGGATGCAGATTACTGGGCAACCAAGTGGAACTGTGCGTAGGTGACTTTCTTTTAGGGCACAAGCCACGTTACTGTTTCATTGTCGATTTTAGTTGACCCTTTGATGACTAATAACCAAATAATCTTTAAATAATCAATACTTTGTTGAGAAACCAACTCAACTGTGAATAATCAGTAATCCTATTACCTAATTATTATTAATAATTTTTTAGCATTCTATTACGTAATTAATTATTAGCATAAAAGTATGTAGACTCCTAGATGACATAAGCAAATTTATTAAATAAAATAATATTCTCACATGACATATCTTGATTAGTGAATTGGGACCTAAGCCGGTTTAGATCTATTATCTTCACATTCAAGAATGACTGGGGTTCCATAAAACTTGGGTGCCTTCAACTTTTGGAATATATGCATCATCCATCTTTATGAAATGGCTGCCATGGTATTAGGAGTGAGAATTGAACCAGCTCTTTAATATTGTGTATATTTGGAAAAAGGCCAAGGCACTTAACCATCGCTAGATGTTGCCGCTAGTGTTTAATTTTTAACCACGTATATATATATATATATATATATATATATATATTTGTTAAAATTATTTATGTGCAATGCAAAGGATATAAACAGATATTCAACTACATGTACATTTTTATGCATAAACATTTGTGTGGGAGTCACTGAATTTGCGTGCTTTATCGTATATGTGTATATTATTTTAATTATGTTGTAAATATACGTATGTATGCAAATGCATTCATAAAAAAAAATCCTTGCTTTAACAAAATATTGACTGCACTGTGGCAATTGCGGTAAATCACAATGTGCCAGAGTTGCTCTAGCTATGGACCCAAGCTCTGGGTACAATAAATTGTGTTGGAGATTGATAACAAGAACAAGTTCAAATCTGTGTTCTCGAGAAAGAGTTGACAGTGTACCACCGTGCCATTTCATTTCTTGGCAAACTCATGCTATTTTCTCTATTTATCCCATTACATTATGTATTCAATCAATTAGGGGTGTCGATTGGGGCATGTTGTGCTGGGTTTAGTTGGCCTAATAATGATTTAATAATTTGGGCCAACCCAAACATGGACTATTTTAATAATTGTCATAATTGCTTCAACAATTTAACGGCCTAATAGACACCTTATTATAAAGCTACTGACATGACACAGCTAGTGTAACACATTTATTAAACAAGTGGTTTGAAGTCATTTCTTGTTGACACACCAAACCTAACACCTGTGATGAACACAACCAATTTTAACGGGCAAAGTCAAGATGACCACCTGAATAAATGAACCACCTGAATAAATGAACCTGACTCCTATAGCATTAATAGTAGGAAACTTTTGGTAATAACCTTCATTTATCATCGTGAGATGAAAAAAAGAAAGAATGTAATACAACATACAAACAGGGAGAGGGAGATGGAGGGAGAGAGAGGACTTAAACACTAATTTGGTTTATCTTAACATTTTAGGAGCATGAAGACACAAATGATATAAGCAAATGGCTTATATCTGATCAAAGGTGGATTATGGATGTACAACAGCAAAATGAAATAAAGACACATAAAGGTTTTAATAGAAAGAAAAGTTTATAGAAGAGCTAAGTAGAATCTGTCAAAAGATTTAGAATTAGAAATCTAGAAGGCTATTGTCCTCTGATCCTTATTAATCGAGTGTGTTGGAAGGGACAGATTGGGTGCAGACCAACTTTTGTTATTATTTAAACAAGGGTAAAGTATAATGACACCCCTTGAAGTTTGGCATAAGGACAATCATATACAAGTTGGCCTATTTTTGGACAATGACACCACTTTGTCAAAAATTGGATCCAAACGGCCTCTTAAAAATTGTAAAAAGTCAAGATTGCCCTTTAATATTTTATTAATTTAAATTATAAAATATCAAAACTCTTAAATGATGCATTTACCCTTATATACTCATTACGCCTCTCTCTCTCTCTATATATATATATATATATATATATATATACACACACACATATATATTTGTATATATGTATATTGTAAACCACCATACAGCAAGACCCCAAAGCTCCGGCCATGCCATCCACCTCCATACCTTCCAACCACCACCACCGCCCGACTTCGATCACCCGCCACCACCTCCGCCTTCCTATTGCGCCTAAACCAAGCCACCACCTCCTTCGCCTTCCTATTATACCCAAAACGAACTCACCCATGTCTACCACAGCTCTCATGTAGGAGGCGAATCGGATTACTATGCTCCGCCGCCACCGCCGCGGCGGCACCTGGAGTTGGAGGAGTACCGTCACTCCGATTCTCTCGATTACCCACCACCGCTGTATAGTGACAACTAATCGGCCGGGTATTTGGAGGTTGACCGCGATGAGGAAGGTCTTCAGATACTTGCCCTGTGATTGGGCCTTTTTGAGCGCGTGCATTACACGGTAGTCGGGTTGGGCGAGACGTTATCGAGCTTGGTTGCCAGTCGATGCCGGCAGGCTGTAGGAGCCACGCGCCGGAGGGGGACTTTTGCTTTTTTGAAAAGTTTTTTTTGGGGAATGGAGAGAAAACGTTGCCGGGAGGTGAAGCTCAGCCGTTGGATCCGGTGTGGAGATCAAAGTGTTTGAGAGATACGCCGTTGATTGCTTCGTCCCTCCATTCGGCGGCGGCGGCGGAGGCTTGTTTGGTGATGGAACTCTAATCCTTTGGCTTTTTCTGTTTCATTGGGCACATTTTTCTCTCTCTAGGATCCCGTCTCTCTCTCTCTCTCAAAATGAGGCTGTTAAGTTAGAAGCTCCGCCACGAGTAGTAGCTCCCTGTCACACTTGGTAATGGTATGACGTGGCGGTGGTGGGTGAATACATAGCGGTGGGTGGTTTTGGGGATGGAGACGGTTGTGGTGATGTTGGGGATGGAGATTACCGTGGGTCATTTGATGATGACGACAGTGTAGGTGAGGGGCTTAGGGGCGGAGAGTGCTAGGGATTTGGTGGTCGGTTTGAGGGAGAGGCAGTGGCGGCTTGTTTGGGTTAGGGTTTGAGAAGGGAAAAAGAAGAAGGGAGTGAGGAGAGAGAGAAATTGGGTTTCTTATATGTGTTATACCCGGTAACCCATTTACACATATATGATCCAAGGGTATTTAAGTCCATCAAAAAGGGTTGTATTGTTTAAATTGATAATTTAATGTGTCAAAAGGGTAATAAAGTCAATTCACCATTGTCAGGGTGTCTTTGTCAACTTTATCAAACCTGAGGGGGTGCCATTGTCCAAAAATAAGCCAACTTGTATATGTCTGTCTTTATGCCAAACCTCAGGGGGTGTCATTGTACTTTACCTTAGTAGTAACAAAATTTGTCCAACCAATAGTTTTGGTAGAAAAGTTATTTGTTTTGATTATAAAGTGTCTATCAAATATTTGGTAATATGAGAGTGTTGCGATGGGTAGATAATTTGAACAAAGTACTAGATTGTTCAAAACAACTATAAATGAAAAAACGAAGAGATACAACTACTAAGTATAGGAAACAAACATAATGAATTTAGGATCATCCACTCTCTAGTTTTAGCATACAAAAAAGTTTTAGCATATGGAAAAATACAAATGATGGATAATGGTTTCATTTAGCATTGTTTGGAACAATGGAAAAATCTCGGACTGCCAAACTTGTGAAAGCAATCGAGGGCAATCACTTTGTTTAAAAATAGATGTACCAATTTAACGGGATGTGTTTGAGCTAAATTTGTGTTGGCACAACAAAATGTTGAGTAAATCAAGGCAGAATGTTCCTTCTGACACTAAAAACCTTTATATGACATTTATTATAGGGTAAGTGCAAAAAACACCCCTGAAGTATACTTTTTGTAGCACTTTTACCCCCTATTTAAAAAGGTGTGCAAAAAACACCCCTTTTCTTTTCACATTGTGCGAAAACTCCCCTCAATCAGAAATTTGATATAAATTAGTACTATAATGCCAATTTTACCCTCTTACTCTTCCAAAAATGCCCATACCAAATCTTGAATTGGTTCAATCTAAAACTAGTTTAGGATAAGAAAATAAATGTAACCAAACGTCCATTTTCTCCTACACCTTTCTTCACAGATTGAGCTTATGTGATGGCGCCTATAATTGTACTGAGGGTGACCAGACGGCGTGGCTAGAACCTACCAAGCTTTCGCCGATCTTCAACGAAGCTTAAGAAAGGACGGGGCAAGGCAGCACTACAAGGTCCTCCACTGGTGACGAGGCCACTGTAATGGTTGTTGTAGAACATCAAAAAATTCTCGGTGGGTTCATTAACAATTTTTGACAAGCAATGAAAGCAAGCATGATGGAGATCAACGGTTGCAAGGAAGATGGTGGAATGATGGTGGCGAGTTTTGGCGCGCCAAAGGTACTGGTGGCGGCGACGACGGTTCTGGCGCAGACGGTGGCAGGTTCGTGGCATACAGCATGGCGGCGCAGTTCTCGGAGGTGGTGGCGCGGGTGATGATAGGATGCCCTATATTTTCTCTCTTTCTACAAACCATAAGCCTTAATTTTCACATATATACATACGGTCATGTATATATATACATATATGGGGAAGAAGATGAATTTGGAGAAGAAGATGGATTAAGGTCGCAAAGATGGTTGACGCCGAGCAATGAATTTACCGGTGAGTAAATGGGTTTGACGCGTCGTCAAAATTCGTGTCACAGCCGTTCTCTATCTTCATCCTCCGCACCACCACTGCAACCTCCACCACAACAGCCACTATTTGTCTCTCTCTTTGCCACCACCATGGCCACCAACCCCACATTTTCTCTCTTTCTACAAACCACAAGCCCTAATTTTCACATACATACATACGGTCATGTATATATGTATATATATACATATATGGAGGCAGCGACAGATAGCAGCGAAGAGGATGATTGCAGATTGCTGTGAAGTGATCGCCACCGTCGCGACTGTATCGTAAGAGTGGAGTATCGCACCGCCGTCACCGTTGCGCTTGCTTGCCGGTGAGCTTCTTGCTCGGCATTCGTTCCATCAAGTAGTGCAGTTTGATTACTGTTCGTCGCCGCCGATATGTTCAGTCCATGCTTACCCCTTGAATCCTTGCTCACCGATCCTCTCACAACCAATTCGTGCTCACTCCAACGAGTGTAGTGAGTTCAATGTGGATGATGGTGAAGCTTCGCCGGTGGATATTCCGTGGGATTTTTTTTTTCTCCTCACTGTATTGGAGTTGAAGAAGATGGGTTTTGGGTACCTTTTTAGTCATTTCACATCATATATATATTTTATAAAATGTGTCACTAAGGGCATTTTAGTTCAATTTTATCCTAAATGTGTAAGGAGGACCTATTTGCACAAATGTCTTAGTTTAGGGGTTTTATTTGCACACGAGGGTTGCGATATGCACTGTATGCATACTTCAGGGGCGTTTTCTGCACTTTACCCTTTATTATAGGGGTTAATCATGTCAATCTTCTGTGACCCACACATGATCAGAGTCAACCCAAACCCTCTAGTTTTGCTTCTGGTTTGAGTCGTATCTGCAGGACATATAAAAAATCAATAACCAAACTAATATTGATAGAAAGCATTTCGCATATCCATATAAGCATTTTAGAGCTGCTATCATCTTAGGTATTTTAAGCGTCTGAGCTTTTGCACTTGTTTTTGCCCTCACATTGTGTTTTGGGCACACAATTGCTGACTATAACAGGTTCCAATTTTCCTTTAGTGGAGTTTTCGTTTTTATGTAATGACGACTGCTAAATACTGAAACATCAAACACAACTTGAATTTTCCTTATAGGCCTAATAACTTTCCATCTATTAATCTTACTCATGAATGCAATAGAATCTATCTAGTTTATTATTTACATGTTATTTTTACTTGGTGGTAATTTGGGGGCTAATGTGAGTAGATGCTAGGGTTCAAAATCATGCTACCTATAAAAAGGAAAAAGAAAAGGAGCTTTCTTAATATTTAAGTCTTAAGAAAAACATGATAAATTGTGAAAGGTGGAAAACTTCCACCATACAGACGCTCATTTTTGAGTAATGTTCCATAGGAATTACTCCCTCCAACTTCTACTGAATTTTTTTTCCCCTCCCACCAACATTCAGCAACGGAGAATGAGAGAATTCATGGGTTAAGCCACCATTGATATGGTTCGATGCTATTGGTGTACTGCCACAAAAAAAAAAAGAAAAGAAAAGAAGGAAACCACACAGATATTACTGAAGAATGCATGAGAATCAGGAATTTGTTTAGGAAAAGAATAGGAATTTGATAGAATTGCTAATTTTGGCCCTTGTTCCTTGCTACTGTGTTTTTTTGTTTCATTGGCCCATTGAGCTGTTATTCTTCTTTGATTACAAGTCTCTAGTCCAATTTCCCAAAACAATCATGCTTTATTACCAAGTTTGCAATGTATTCTATGCATGTAATGTATGGAGAATTGAAGTAGTCACTCCTCCCAATTTTAATGTCACTTTTGGGGATTCCTACTTTTTAAGAAAGTGGCATTTAATGCATTCACATTGTGTTAGAAAAGATTAAATTTCAAAAAATACCACTTTCAAATTTACTATTATTATATTGATCTGTGCGCTACCTTTTGAGAAAAGGGTCAATAAGGAATGGTGAAAAAAAGAAAAAGAGTACATTAACTTTTCTTGGAAGACGTTTCTTTTGGAATCATCCAGAAATGGAAATAGGCACATTTATTTTGAGATGGAGGGAGAAGAGCAGAGGAGGAGGAAGAGGTGGGAGAAAGAATAGTTATGTTTTCTCTTGATCCCGATCTTATGTATATGGAGAAGTGATAAATTTGAATGATCCCCGGATTCAAGTATATATGTAATGCCATCAAAATCCACAACAGTACTTGGAAAATGTTATGCTTAAAAAATGTCTTGTTTGTCCCCTTGGAAAAAAATAAAGGTGTCAAAATATTCAAATTTTCAATTTTCCAAAATTGAGAAGAAGGATTTATATATAATATTTTATGCAAACAATTACTTCTCATGGTGTTGATTCACGAAGCTTTTTGGCCAACAGCCAACCATTATGTTATTTTTGAATGTTTTGGCCGTAAAAGTACCACTGACATACAAATACATAATTTGGGGCTGTTTGAAAAATTCAATAAGTGGCCCCCATTTACCGTTCGGTTCATAGGATAATCATCTTGAGTTGGTTTGGAAGATTGTTTGATTCTGCTTTATTGTCTGTTTAAAATTGAACCAGTCCAAAAATAAATTATTTTGACCAAATACAGGCCAATATAGTTTAATCAACCTTATCTCCGTTAACCTGGTAATTGGGTTTCCAATCAGCTCCTTATATTTCATTTCATTCAAAGCATCATCTGTTGTCAATTGAAAATACCTTTTCAGCAAGAAATGGTGGCCAGCACCAACTCTTTGATTCATCTCTTGCTGGTAGTATCCGATCCCATTGATAATGAGAGAAATTCTTTGATTTATTCCGGAAGTAAATGATTAATCATCTGCTTAAGTATAGATGATAATGACTTCTTGCTACAACTTTTGGATTCCACATTTGACTTGGTTCCTAGTTTCTAAAATTTTACCTTTGTTCCCTTTAAATGTGAAGTACATTAGTGGTTACATATCAAAAAGTGATAGGGAAGGTCGCAGGTGTTGCATGCATATGTAGGGATTAGTGTCAACTCAAAATGGGTCAAGGCCACCTTGGTGTAGCCAAAAGAAGAAAAAAGTTGGGGAGATTAATGCACAACAGTGAACTTATCATGATCAGACTTTACTTATCAAAAAAAAAAAAAAAAACTTATCATGATCACGGTAGAGATGGAAGTCTCTCTATCTCTCTCTCTCTCTCTCTATTGTCTGTGCAGGAAGTGGAAGAAAGAAAAAACATAAGCTCTAAATTAGTGATTATCTTTGTTAGCCCCAAGGTTTCAACCCAAGGGTACTTAGGGAATTTTGATGACAACAAACTATTGTAGTATGGAACTAATTATTCTACTTGCGTGTGCATATCTTGGGTTACAATCTTTATGTAAGGTGGTTTTTTTTTTTTTTTTTTTTTTTTTTTTTTTTTTTAATTATTATTTTTTTGATAAGTATGTGATGATTTAATATTCTCACAAACCGGTAGTTTACATTGATTTTTCTAAATGAACTATCTGTGCATCTTCTTGTGAAATGTACTTTATTTTACGTTTTGTGTTGGGTATTGCATGATGTAATAATTGTGCCTTCTTTTTGCCTTGTCCAGCCTATTTTGGTTTATATGTCCAAGGTGGATGGGAAATTTAAGTTTAGTCCAATTAGTGTCAACTTTTTGACGGAGGCTACGAAGGTGCTCTTCGCAATTATTATGCTTTTGATCCAGGTACATTTGAAGTTTCCTTATATATATATCTTTTGTATTTGTTGTTATCCATTTTTCTTTATGGGATATATGTATACCGTGATTTTTGAAGCAAGACGAGAACTGAGAGATTTCTTGAATCAATGGAGGTAAATTATTCCTTAATTTTGTGTGGTTCTACCATGTTATGGAGCTTCTTCTTTTCCAGTAATAGAAGGTAAAGGTGGTTTTGAGGTCTAAGCTATCTAAATCGTAATTAGCATTGTGAAGACTAGATAACCATATAGAAGGTTATTATTTGTTAATATACTTGCGTGGGATATATTTAAAATTTAAATAGCAGAATATGTTACAGGATGTTTGTAGGTTATATTTTCATCATCAGAAGTACGAAAAGGTATATTTTATTTGTAGCAAGAATATTTGTGGAATCTTAATAATGTGTTTAATTACATCCACAGAGATGTTACCTGGAGATGTTTTAAATTCAAAATCTTCATGAATTTCTAAGAATTTGTCATCTTAAAATTTTTCCTGAGCCTGAACTTGGAAAAATAGTGCTAATAGTTTACATTAATTTTGCAGGCTAGGCGCCAGAAAGCTGGAGAGAAGCCACTACTCTCAGTTTCCACATTTGTGCAGGTACAAATTATTTTTGACATTATAAATTTTCTTTTTCATTTTGAGGTTCTAGGAGAAGGTTAATAAAATGTTAACTAGTTTAGGCTTGTTAGATGATGCAATATGTTTAGTGTTTCAAGGTATAAAGTCAGATATAGATATATTGGCATCATATCTATGTCGTGTGATTTTGAGGTTGGAATTGGTTAGATTGAGATAGAGATGTTAGATTTGGGAGCTCCTGAAAAAATCGAGTTCATTGCCAATAAAAATGTTGTTTTAATTTACTTATAATTAATTTATTTTTATTATATATTGTGGATATATATTTTATCATTTTCCTCCTTCACTTCCTAGCTAACAATGAGAACAAATAGGTGTTGGTGTCTAAAACACTCATATAATTTATCCAATCAGTCATCTCCAAAATGGGTCTACCTTGTTTTTTGCCTTTGGCTGTACCCTAGGTTCTAAGGTGATAAAAATGAGCCCTCAATTCAATGCAATTTTTTTGTTTTCATGGATCCTCGATTAATCTTTTGATGTGCGGCTTCAGGAATCCATATCCCTTATAGATCTTTTAATGATTCTAGCCTCTTGTCTTTGTGATGGTATTAATATTGATGTTGATTATTTCATGAAGTGCAGTGTTTTGGTTTCTCATTTTATGATATTTTCATTTATTGAGTATCTCAGTTCTTGGATGCCTGCCCAATTGATGGGGAACATGAATCATTATATGTGTTTGAATACCCTCAAATAATCCATTCTCAGAATGGTTTGTTCTCATTAGTTAGGAGAACTTTATAGGATATTGTTATTGTATCTATCTGAGTTTTGAGATGCATTAATTGAATGCTTATGATAAGGCTTATGACAAATGGCCTCTGATCGTATCATAATATCATCTTGCATTTGCTGCAGGCTGCTCGCAGCAATATGCTTCTTGCCGTTCCAGCGTTTCTCTATGCAATCAATAACTATCTAAAGTTCACCATGCAGGTATAGTCCTTTAGTGTACAATTTGATTAATTTGTGAAATATGGTAAATTCAGCATATCTGCAAACTTTGCAAATTGTAAGTTATATATTGTAGATTTTTTTATGTATGTATTTAATGTACATTGTGTAATTTATTAAATGTAGAGTTACAAATGATATACAATTATATGCATGTTGGAGGATTTAAGTACTAAAGTTACACCCTCTCTAACAGCTTAAAAAATTTGAGTAGATGATGTTTAACATGGTATCACAACAGGCAAGGTCTTGACTTCAAATGTCATCGTCTTCAAACCTCACCTTCACCTTGATTATTTAAAACTGAAACACGTTTTGGACCAAAAGAAGGCCACACGTGAGGGGGCGTGTTAGAGGATTTAAATGTTAAAGTTACACCCTCTCCAATAGCTTAAGCTTTTAGAGTAGATGATGTTTAACAACGTATATTACAAATTGGGTAAATAAGTCTAAACCTATCTGAAACCTTTGAAAAAATTGTGGTCTAACACCCTTGAAGTTTTACAAAAATTCAGATAACCCTTGCCATTAACGGACTGATAACCCATTAAAAATTATTGTGTTGAATGACAAACTTACCCTTCTTCGAAACAAAATGACACAATTACCCTACTTATCATTCTAAAAAGACTATAATGCCCATAATCACTCACCCTCCTCTTCCTAATTTTCCTCGTATATATTCTGTCTAATTTCTATATATAGGAACAATTTCTCGAGTGGATTTTATTTATACAGACTTTTCACCAAACTCCTTTCTCGATCAATTCTACATATACACATATGCGATTCCTTGTACAAGCTCTTCACGTGTGTGTATATATCTGTCTGGTTGAATAAACCTCTTTGGATAAGAAATCTAATTGAACCAAAAGCTATGATATCCTTGGTAAGAGTTCATAGCGTGGATACTTGGGCTGTAGAAAAATATTAATATGTCACATATATTAGATGATTGTTCTGGATTTAACTAAGAATATGACTTTACAAAGAAATGGCTTGAGGTAATGGATCCATATTGCCTGACAGAAGTAGTGAGGATTAAGGCTTGTTGTGTTGGGTATCTCTAAGTTGGGTATATATCTACTTTTTAGGCTGGTTCTAATTTGGGTTTTTATGTGTGAAATGATGCCAACGGCTGATTTGAAAGGTGATGACTATTGGAAAGTAAAGAGATTATACGCAAGAGTTTCTCTGATTTTGTTCTGTTTTATGTGTTTTGATGAGTGAGTTTTTTTTATTATTTATTTCCAGTGTATTGTATTTAATCTTGTGCGATTAGATTAGTGAAGTTTAAGAATTTGAGATTATCAAGGCTCTACCCATTGACCAGAGAGTGTTGCTGAGGAGTTCCAAAGATGTTATCATTTTTTGGATTGTAGTGAAATTGCAGAGGAGTTCCAAAGTGACTAAACTGTTCTCTCATTCTTCTACCTTATGCCTCAAACAGCACAATCTCATCCTCTATTCCTCGTTGCACCGTTGCCACAACCACCACCAATCCCTCCCGCCAACGGCTGATTTGAAAGGTGATGACTATTGGAAAGTAAAGAGATTATACGCAAGAGTTTCTCTGATTTTGTTCTGTTTTATGTGTTTTGATGAGTGAGTTTTTATTTATTTATTTATTTATTTCCGGTGTATTGTATTTAATCTTGTGCGATTAGATTAGTGAAGTTTAAGAATTTGAGATTATCAAGGCTCTACCCATTGACCTGAGAGTGTCGCTGAGGAGTTCCAAAGATGTTATCATTTTTTGGATTGTAGTGAAATTGCAGAGGAGTTCCAAAGTGACTAAAAGAGAAGACCTTTCCAGCAGGAGAGAAAATTATAATAGCAGCCTCACTACTGCGGGAGGGATTGGTGGTGGTTGTGGCAACGGTGACAACGAGGAATAGAGGATGAGATTGTGCTGTTTGAGGCATAAGGTAGAAGAATGAGAGAACAGTTTAGAGAGAAGGGGATGGATATGGAAAAGAAAACTAGGATGATCATAGTGGGTATGATGGTCTCTCATGTTCTACTCATTTTTGTTATTTTAAAGTAAAAACCTTTAAAATAATTTGAGGGTAAAAATGTCAGTTAATTTTTTTCTTGACAAACTCTAACAAGGGGTTTCAAGAGTTATTTTTGTGAAGTTTAATAGAGTCATAAGTCGAAATCTCGGGGGAGGTTGGGGTAATATACTCTTACAAATTATATATATCTTCAACTACATGCTCCAAGAATTCTTCCAGCTCTTTCACAACTTTGTCCAATTTAGCATACAAACCAATGACATGAATGACCTATGCAACCCATGGAATGAAATTCCCAATATCAACACTGTACAATAACATTAAGAAATCCCTTGGCAGCTGCATAAACATTCCCCTCCACTATACTTCTCTCCGAAGCAGGCATATACACCATTTCATTTGTAAGAAACATGAGCATTAGCTTGGATTCAACAGCGAGGATGTAGAAGTAGATTGAACTGGTCTATCATTTAGAAGCTGGATCACACAATTGCTTTTCAATTGCCTCCAAAATTCACTGTTGGCTTCATGTCCTTGTAGTCGTAGAGAAGCCGTTAGTGATGCTCGACCTGAGTCTGTTTTAGAATATAAGATCACTGGTCTTCTGATTAGTGAGCCGTATCGGTATGAGATGACGAGTGTTGACACTGCTGAATTTAAACAGCATTTTTGGTTAGGTAACAAGCCAGGTGGTGTGGCTCTTAGAAGGTATAGAGAAAGAAAGGGGTGAGTAAAGAAAATAGAATGGGAAAGATGAAGGCTGAGGGGGAGAGAGATACAGACAGAGGAGAGTAGAGAATGTGGTGGTGAGGATAGCAATGTAGAGGTGCTGCTATGGAGGTGGAGAAAAGTGAACAGAGAGGGGAGGAGAAAGATGGAGAGAGGAGAGAGGAGAGAGAGAGAGAAAAGGTTGATTTTTTTTGCCTCGTGTTGAATTTTATTATTTTATTTAAAAAAACAATAAAATAATTCATGTGTTAATCCTCATTTTAATCAAAATGTTTTTAACACCATTTATCTGACAAGTCCTGACATAGGAGCTTAGGGTGATAAACACGTATCTTTCACCCGAGTGTAGTTATGCTAAACCAGTAAACAGCAGTTTTTTTTTTTTGGGGGGGGGGGGGGGGGGGGGAAGGTGGTTTGGTGTGGTGTATGGTTATTACCCTAATGCATAATATTAACTTAATTTAATCATTTTTTTGGATTCTTTGGGGCCTTAGTCCCGGTTCCATTTTTTGTACAAGGGACGCGTTCCCCTTTTGAACGCCTTTTTTATGTTATTATTACTTATCAAAAAAATAATAATAATATTAACTTATTTTACACTATTATAAAGAAAAGAAATAAAAAATAGCAAGCTTTCTAACCCCAATTCCCAAATATAACTCAAGGAATATAATACACACACTCTCTCTCTCTCTGGGGATGTGTGTTTAATACATGCAACAATAGTGCTATCCATTACCTGGGCCTGTTACCTTTTGACATGAAACTATGCTTGTTGATCAAGGTTGTAATGAGAAATTAAAAGTGTAAATTTTAATATGACTGCTTGTTACATTTGCTTATATGAACAATTGTGCATATACATCAGCTTATTTTAAATTGAAAACTAATCTGTTATTTCCCTTTCAATATGTTTATGCAGTATAAGTAATGGTAATAGAAGTATGTTCTGAACTTATAGTGTTCTGCAACAATTTCATTCTCCGTAATCAGTTCCCTGCACATGTATAATTTATAACATGTTGTAAGAATAAGTAAACATATGTTTCATGCTCTTTGTCATACCATATGACATATACAGGAGGCAATCACCAAGAGTTCAAAGCTGCTCTGGGTGACCAGTAGGATCAATTGCCAAGTTGATTAACCGGGCAGTTTGATTTCTACAGCTGATAATTCATACTTGAGAAACTTCATTGAACCATGATTTGGTTGAAATTTAACACCATTGATGTCAGAGTGCTATATGTTTATGTCCAACTATTTAACGTTGAAATTTTTTCTGTACAGCTATATTTCAATCCTGCAACTGTGAAGATGCTTAGCAATCTAAAGGTATGTTATTATTTAACTTATTGTTCGTGATGTTTTAGTGATTGCATTTTTTTTCATAATAACTAAGTGATTTCATGTTATTTTTTCCTTTCTTATGTTATTGATATTTTATTTCTCTGTGTACTGATCATTCTAGCATGATTTCTTGTTATATCACATTTTATATATTGCATTATCATGACTATTAGCCGGATAAACTGTTTATTTCTCAAGTTTTTCAATTTTTTTGTGTAGCAATCTTTTATTTTTCACAACATTATTTTATTTTATGTTATTACTCCATATTATTTTTTGGATACTAAGGCTTCAGATGTCCTGCTGGCTGGTTTTAGCTGGACATGGACATCTGCTTTTAGCCTTTTGCTGTATTGCTTTCCTATTATCATCTAGCGAATTCTGAATGAACTGTACCGTGCTTACAAGCACTCAAAATTTATTTTCCTGAAAAAGGAGCAAATTTTCTATATCAAATCACTGGGATTAGCCCACTCTAGGATGCGAGTGTGAAGCTTGACTGAGACCGTGAATTTTGGAAATGATGTCGTCTAGAGCTTCGTCACAGGATTTGCATAATGGGGCTGCCGCTTTTAAGCTCCTCGTGCATGTCGGCAGACTGAGAACAGATGCATCTGTAGTCCATAGATCCAAAATTTACAATTAGTGAATTTTCTATCTTGAAATTGTGGATCCCATACTTTTCCATGTAAGGGTTTTTCCAAGCTTATGTTCGCTAGCTGGCTTCATTTTTACTCCCTCCGTCCCAATATAGTTGTCCACTTCGTAAACTTTGACTCACATAATTGTGAGTGTTTACGAAGTGGACAACTATACTATATTGGGATGGAGGGAGTATATAATATGCAAAAGTAAGTGGCACAAGGTTTGAACTCATAATCTGCTGCTAGGGAACCTACACTGGGCACCACTGTGCTAACTCTCTTTTGCGGTAACATTACACTAGTTTGTATATTTACTATTTTTTGTTAGATCAAACCAATAAGTAATTTATTCCCACGTATATTTGTCCAGAAACTCTTAATAATTAAACAAAAGTGGACGAAAAAGGACTTATCAAAAAAAAAAAAAAAAAAAAAGTGGACGAAAAAGGATAAATAAATGTAGATAGAAATAATATGGATTAAAATCTTATATGTAGGTCAAGTACATTTATACACAACATGCACATGCTCTAAAGACGCTTTCGCTCTCAAAAAATTTAAACTTGCGTGACCTTGGTCTCTAGTACCTTGAGAGCATCTATCGAATCATGTTTATTTATTTTATTGTATATAAAAAGTATATATAATACGTCCTATACTAATTTACAATAATATTGACATGTGTTATTAACTTATTACAAATAGGTTTAAGTATCTGTGGTCTAGTAAAGAGAGGTATTATGGCTTGGAGGCATGGTCAGTGGTTTTCACATGCAAGGTGAGGGTTCAAACCTCTTCTGCATACAACTTTCTTATCTCCAGTTCCTGGCCCAACCCACGCTCTGCAAATTCGACCCTGTGAATTTCCTGCAGATTCAGTCCAAACAATTCCAATCTGCTAATCTGTCTGTCAAAATTTGTTTTTTTTTTTCCCCTTCTTTTTTGGTCTTTTGTGAGAAACAAAAGTAGTAAAAAAATTTATTATTGTTTTTTAATATCTTAGAAAAAAATTTAAATAAAAAGAAATCAATGGTTAGAAACAAAAATTAAATCACTCAGAAGACAATTAACAAAAGCCTCCTCCCTTCTATTTGGTGTCAGTTACATGAATCTTAGATAAAAATAAAGATAAATTAAAAATATATACGGAAATAGATAGTGAGCAGTTAAAAAGGATGAACAAAGATGAATGCCACTATGGGGAAAAAAGATGAGAAAAATCACTAGACGGATGCCTTTGTGGTGGTGATTACGAAGTGTCACACCCTTCCAAAATAAACAAATAAAATCTATGATGATCCTAATCATCACATTGTTTGACCAACAAATTATTATTATTATTATTATTATTTTCAGTTTTTCATTCACACAGTTAATTTTTTGATTGATGGGTAATAATTTCAACATTTTCCTGTTAAAGAAAGAGGAGGAGATAATGTTGACGATAATACGGGAAAGCAAGAATCCAACCCTTTTCCCTTGTCTGCTCTTTATCTAGACCTCATCTAACTCCTATTGTTGGTTAAATTGTATCTCCTGTCAACCTCCTAATGGAAAGCTGAAGGTTCAAGTCCTAGTTGGGATGTAGGTTTGTGTCTTACTTGTAAAAAGAAAAATTATGCAGTGGGCCTAATCTCTTTTAAATAAGCAGATCTGGCAGACTGGAAGATGGGGCTGAGAGGTCCTTTCAGATTTTATTTTCTTATGCATCATTTAAATATATATATATATATATATATATATATATTAAAGTCAAGTTCACCAAAGTACACCTTATTTGGTTTTTGGCCCAAATTGGAACTTGCTTCTGTGGTGTTACCAGTAAGTATTCTGAGTACTTTGCACTGGAGTTTACGTGCTTAGCACTAATTTTAAGGTTGAATCAAACATCAAAAGATTATCTATTAGGGAAAACAATTTTTTTTTTTTGTCAGAGTAGCTCTGAAGCCATGTGTCTGACTAGGTAACTTTGAATAAAAATGAATTTGTCATGCATGTCTGCACTAAAAAGGTTTTTGACAAGCTTATAAGCTTGTCTCCAACCCTGAAAAATGCTTAAATAGGAGCTTTAATGTTACACGGCTTACAAATAAAATTGTCAAGGTATTATGTGTAACATATTATACATGTTCTGTGTCTCAATTTATTGGTTGTTCTTGCTAACTGTGGACTGTAAAAGTTTGCAGGTTTTGGTGATTGCTGTTCTCCTAAAAATAATAATGAAACGTCGATTTTCCATAATTCAGGTTAGTTCATTTTTTAAGCAGTCTATTATGGCCAATTTGACTACTCAGGTGTAAATAGGAAACTCAATCTGTGAATTGTGTAGGGTATCATGGATGAACACTCATGACACATCACAATATGCCATGCTTATTTATATATTAGCAGTAGTAGAAATGCGATATGATTGCAATTTTTATAGTAAAAAAATTTTTGGGAAATAATATACTTAATTTTTTATATTTGATTGCATAGTTTCAGAATTTTTTTTTGTTCATTTGTGTCCTAAAATTTTGATTTTATTTAAAATTGGGCACGTTGTCTATAGTCCCAAGTCTTATTTTTTCTAATTGATTATGATAATCATAATTTGTTTGGAAAAGCAACAAAATTAATTTTCTTTAATACTCTTAAATTTGTCATAAATAATAATATTTAATATATCTCAATACACATGAAATTTGTGGGACATAAGTTTGAGGCCGGCTTCAAAGCCTTTCCTTTTCTATACTATTTAGATATGTGCAATTTTGATTCATTATTTTGTTACAGTGGGAGGCCCTTGCTCTGTTGCTGATCGGGATAAGCATAAATCAACTGCGCTCCCTACCTGAGGGTACTACTGCTCTGGGTCTTCCAGTTGCAATGGGTGCATACATCTATACTTTAATCTTTGTAAGTGATTTGAGGCGTTTTGCTGTTAAACTACTGAATTGCTGGCTATGCATTTGATTCGGTCTGAAAATTTTCTTTTTGGCTTAATGGTTCTTTTGTCCTCTGGACTTGGTTCTGTATAATGGAGGCTTACTTTAAGAGTTCAACGTACAGGTGACTGTACCGTCGATGGCCTCAGTCTACAATGAATATGCTCTCAAGAGTCAATATGACACAAGCATCTACCTTCAGGTAATTCAATTGCATGAGTATGATTTAGCTTGTAATATGATTGTTTTATGTCAGGTTGTGTCACGTTCAATATGTACTTGATTGTATTAAACACAACCATTTAATAATTGTGTCAAAGATTCTCAACCCTAACACGACATGTTCATTAAATGGATAACACAACCGATGCATCTAGTCGATCTAATAAGCAAGTTGTTAACTTGTGCTGGGTCAGTTACGGTCAACTTGCAAGTCCCATTATCATTACCCTCTCCAGACCCCGCAGTGGTGGGAGCCTTGTGAACTGGTTTTGCTCTTTACCCTTTTTGCGAGTCCCATTATCACGAGACAATTATAACACGTTTAAGGACCTGTTTTAACCTGTAAGAGTCCCGAACATACCTAAAAAGAAAGTGCAATTAGCACAGAGAGAGATCTCCAACTGAATATTGAAGCAAGTAATATTCGCTGTCTTAAGTTGTTATCATCTAAACAGTATAAACAAGCTCTGATTCAAAATTAAAAACAATCTGTAAATTCAAGAACACAGTTTATGAAAATTGCAATTGAAAGAATAAAATTACTCAACACCATTGAATGATTCAGTCTTAGTAGTACAATGGCCTTGGTGCCCTTTATCCTCCACTCCAACAATCTGTGTAGTGAGACCACACTGGGTAATGGCCTTTTTGTGTCCCATTCTTATGATTTCAATTTTCTAGAGTAAATGAAACTGGAATAATCTTGGCTTCTCTTTTCTATATTGTTGTTTATTGGAGAGTGATTCAGTTGACTGATTTTATGGAATTCTCCAAGTGGACAGTATAGGACTCGGCACCTAAAAGATGATGCATGATTCAGCATTCATTTTGGGGTCAATTTGCATTAGATTCAATCTGAACCATTCATAAAAAAATATAATTGTTGATAATTGCTTATCAGATATATGTTCAGTCATACTTTTGCTAGTGATGTGAGTTTTGAGCTTCGTGTAAAAAACCATTTCCTTCAGCAAATACTTTTATCTTCTTTATTTGACATTCGGTTGTTTTGTCTGCAGAACTTGTTTTTATATGGATATGGGGCCATTTTCAACTTTCTTGCTATTATTGGAATTGCCATTTTCAAAGGTATGGACATAAGCTTTGCAGTCCAATCCTGTCAAATAGTGTCAGTATGTTTGAGAGAAGTGGTTTTAAGTTGTATTGATACTAGTATTTGATGGAGGATTTTATTTTGTTTTTCAATCTTTGTTATGTCTCGGACTTTTAGTTGTCTCAAAAGTTAGATTCCATACAGTTCATCTCCAACTGAACTAAGTGTGTGTTTGCGGCTGCTTTTTGTTTCTCCAAGTCAAATTACATTCCGTAATTGGGGTCCAGTGGTGGTGCTAATTTTTCATTGTGTTACTGATATAAAGTGTTTAATAGATTTTACCTGAGTTTGTTGTCAATCTTTGTTATTCTTTGTAGTTTAACGAGTTCGATTTTATACAGTTTGTTGTAAATAATAAAATATAAGTTGAAGAGAGAAATGAAACGAGTAGAACACAGAGATATTATGTGATTCGGCCACTAAGGCCTACATCCACGGCACAAAGAGCCCAACTGGCAACATCATTTTTATAATACTCTCTTTTCACACGTAACACAATGGTGGTGTTTATTTATTTTTCAATTTATGAAATATATTGAACATAAAACGTGTTTCAAAAGTGCAACTTCGTAAGTAGTGCCACTCAACTTGCTGGCCTAGTGCTTTCTAGCAGCTGTTGGGGTGAAGAACTAGTTTTACCCTGAATAGCAACAAGTGACTCCCATATTCAAGCTAAATATGCTTTATGCTTCTTGGAATGTTGTAGGTTTGTGTTTATCCTCAAAGATCATTCCATATTTTCTTTAGGTGACAACCTCTTGGGTGAAAAAATAAAATGCTGATGACATTGTTTGGCAGCACCTTGTCCCATCCACTAAAAACTATCAGCTTCTTGTGCTATTTTTAGATCATTTTACTTCCCTTTATCTATTTTATAAATAGAGAATTGTAAGTGGGATCAAGAGTCCCTGGCAACTTATTTATTTTTATTTTTTATTATTTTTATTTCTTCTCTCTCCCCTTTTGCAACATTACTAAAACAAAATTGCGTATGGAGAATCGGAGATTTTACTTCTACAAAGATACACTGAGATATTTTTCAGGATTTTTTTCAAACAAGGGTGGATGACAATTGCACAGCAAAGTTAGAAAATGCTTAGATTCCCTGGAGATTAGTTGTTCGATAGTGTTGTCCTCCTTTTTTTTTTTTTTTTTTAGGTCTTTTCTTGGCAAGAAACTCACACACCCATTTGTCCGTAATGGGACTCGAACCCTCACCTCCACCTTGGGAGGTAGAGGAGATACCACTGGGCTACTGCCCTAGGTGTGTTTTTCTCTGTTTGTATGCTTTTACATGAAAATCCATTATATTTATCAGTGTTTTTTAAAGAAGTGGTGGTCATCATCACAATTGAAATGGCTGCATTTTATGGAAATACTAATATTTGTTTAATGCCACTAATTGTGAAGGCTCCCATTATTCTAATGGCCTTACCCTATCTGATGGATCTATTATCTGTCATTTCATGATGATTCAATTTCCACAGCACACTAAAAGACACCTTTAGACAATTATTAGTTACTCTTGGTTCATGAGATGTGTTGATCAATCTTTAAGTTGTAGCCCTAATATTTTATTTTGAATATTTTAGGTCCCAGTAGCTTTGATATACTGCAAGGACATTCAAAAGCTACCATGCTTCTAATATTTAACAATGCAGCACAAGGAATTCTATCCTCCTTTTTCTTCAAATATGCTGGTTAGATTGCTTCCACTACTTCTATGAAATTCTTATTCTTGCTCCCCAGTATTATGCACTATTCTTAATATAGAATACTTCATAAAAAATGATAATTGTTATTCTTTTATTTTCATATTTTGGTTGTACGAATTACTGCATGACACTTTATTTTAGTTTTGCTCATACTTATCCGATACTGCATTTGATGCTATCAGATACAATTTTGAAGAAGTACTCATCGACTGTTGCCACGATCTTTACTGGCATAGCATCTGCTGCTTTGTTTGGTCATACACTGACTATAAACTTTATTTTAGGAATTTCAATTGTGTTCATCTCAATGCACCAGGTAATAAAAGAAAGAGAAATATCCTTTTGATTGTTACTATTTTGTTTTGGGATTCACCTTGTGATTCATTTTTCTGTTCAGTTCTTTTCACCTCTTTCAAAAGTCAAGGATGAACAACAAAATGGGGTGCTGGAATTATTGGATATTAAGAATAATCACAGGTATTTGCTGCTTCTTTTCGGTTGTCAAGTTTTTCGTGCCTATCTTATGAAGCATGGTTAGAGTGAGATGCTTCCGCGGTGGAATCAGATTGCCTCTCCCGCTGTGTGAAGTGTGAACTAAGAGTAGTGCAAGAATAACATCCCTGGTGGTTCTTACCGGGGACATACACCAATATGTTTTAGTAAATGTTGCTGCATTCTATTTAAAATGTCAGATTAGGGTTGATTAATCATTCTAACCATGCAAAATATTTCTTTCATCTATGCTGTCAGAATGCTGTTGACCTCTAGGGGAAGAATTCCTTTTCAAACAAATGATTTCCTTTGCACACTGATTACTTAATTCTTTTCCTCTTTCGATTACACTCAATAGTGTAGTATGTGGCATGCCAGAACAACTTTTCACTCTCTTTTTTCCTGAAGTTTTCCAGTTTTTGTATTCACAGTCTATATTGTAATTGTTGTTCTTCCCAATATTAAAACTCAGTCACGTCCTTCAATTTCAATTAAAATGTCTATTTTCTCCCTTTTTCAGATCAAAAGATTCATCTTTCATAAATATGGCAGCAGGAGCAAATGAGGAGGTGCGTATCTTTGGCATCTCTTCTAGATGCAATTTTAGTGCTATTCTCTACCTTCAACAGAAACTCATAATTTCTTTCCTTTTCAATTTACCAATTTTCCAGGCTAGTCATCGTGTAGAATCTAATGAATTACAGCCGCTTCTTCCTAGATGAAGTCACTCAGGAGTAAGTTATTCAAATTTTATTGTTGGCATCAATTTTGTGATTGCATTTATTATTATTTTACTATCTATGTTAATCATAGTCAAATTTATTATTTTACTATCTCTATTAATAATAGTAAAAAATTTCAACATGTGTTTTTCTTTTCTTTTTCTTTTTTTAAAAGTAAGAAATTTATTTTACCTTTTCTATTTCTTTCCAAGTGAGAACCTGCTTATGCAGTTGCCAACTAGCATAGCTGGTAAGACAAGTTGGTGGTAAAGACTATTTGCTTGGGTTTGAGCTTCCTAAAGAGTTTGGACACCGTCTTCATTCCCAATTTTGGGTGTTTATGCTCTTGAGAAGATCCCAATTTTAGATTATGACTTATGGAATCCACCAAATTATATTATTAGGAGAAAAGGATGACATTCTTTTTAGCTTAAAAATTAATTTGTGGGGAAATAGCCCTGTGCCGAGATACCCATGTTTTCATTAGATAAAGTGAAAACCCTGGTTCTCTATTTATCTGCGATATTTAGTAAACCAGAAATTTAAGACAACGAAGTATTAGATACTGGACTGTATTTCCATCTGAATTCACATGGTCCGATATTTAATCATGGTTTTACAATTCCCTGCTGTAATGTGATTGTACATATTTTCTTTATTGGAGTTGATATAAATTCTTCTTGCATCTATGTTTTGCATAATTATGTTTGAAATTTGTGATGTGCTTTTCATGTGCTGCTTATGGTGAAGGCTGCACATGCTTGTTGTACAACCCAAAGGCAGTCAATCTTATCCCATTTTACTTGGGACTTTGAAACCACAATCTCGTAAAAATAATTAATTTATTTGTTCTCTTTAACTCAAATGTAGGTAAGTTAATAATTTAAAGAGGTCATTTACTTGGCTGAATTGAATGGTTTTAAGCTTTGATTTCTTGTTTGTGTTCCCAGAACTTTCTAAAGTTGCATTATGTTACATGTTCCATAGAAATTTTGGAAAGTTTCTTGGAAACTTCATATGCTTTCTTTCTGCCGTGATTATTGAAGTGCCAACTTGTGTTATATTGTCATGTAAAACACAATGGCATTAACGATTTTCGTGATCATTGATGGTCAAACTGATATTACCTAAGACACCTTTAGAGTTGTATGCTAGAAAAGATTACTGAAAATGAGATCAATCTGATACATGACGACGGTGCATCTTAAATTTGCTGAGAAATTAACAAGAGAAGAAAAATCTAGATGCCAATGATGTGAAATTCTGATATGTTGCGGTATGAAATATATGTTTATGATCCACCAATCAGATATGTAAGAACTTTTCAAGGAACAACCCACTATGCTCTACCACTTGGTAAACCAAGAAAAACAAACATCCAAGTCTGTCTTTAGATAATTTTTCGACTTATCCATTGTAATAACCGTAGAATAAAGAATTTTGTTATCCATTGTATGATAGTAGATAGATGTTCCTCTGCCATCATCACATGTATTCAATCAAACTCTTAGTATCAAATTTTTGTTGCAGGGTTGTTTGTAGGTATGAATTCTTTTTGCTGGACTTGCAAGGGATTAGATTTAGCAGGTCAGAGGATTACTCGGCGAAATAAAAAGGAATTCTTTTTACTTAAATGGGTTTCTTGCTCTGTGGTTTCCCTTGCATGATCGTGAATACAACCTTCTCTGAAGAATGAGCTTGATGTATAGACCGTGCGATGGTGAAAGAGATATGGACACAGAATACCAGCAAACAATGGTGTGTTCGTTCGTCAACCATCATGCGGGACAAGAAATATACAAATGCTGTGTTATTAGTTTCATTTGTATTCTTAATCTTTAGAGTAGTAGTTATAGATAAATTTTCACCTTTTCTTTTCTATTACCATATGCCTTGTTTTTTTTTTTTTTAAACATAAAAATGAATTAGAATTTTTGTATATCGAGTATAATTGATTGGATAGGATGAGAGGGCACTGTCAGGTAATGTTGTCATTCCATTGTATTTGGAGGGTTTCAATGAATAATAATGTTTTATGATGTCTTAAGGTTTTACATTTGTTGGAAGTATAATAATCCATGAATTACTAAAAGTGAAAAAAAAATAAAAATAATATTAATATAAGATGCTTTCATACATTCAAAATGAAACCTTTTTTTTATTTATTTGGTTGATATATGAAACCCATTTGAAATTGGTCAGATACTAAATTTACATATAAATGTAAATTTGGAATTTACCTACAAATTTAATGAATTATTGAATTTTAATGGTTTATATATTATAGCTATTAACGTGCAAAAATTTCACTTCTAATTTTGCTTTGTATATATATATATATACCATATTGGTAAGGACCCCAACCCAGGGTCCATTCCCACTTAGCTATCTATGAAATAAAAGAAAAAGATTGATTTGGAGTCTCTAATTTTCCACTAGTTATGATGCAAAGTTGGGTAAAAAATTTGGTATGCTGTCGCAGGCATCCAAAAATAAAACCTATACTCCCAAAATATACATGTAGTAGTGCGAGTAAGGATCGTTTCCACAGAGAGTGTTTAGCCTTGTTTTATGCTACGTGAACAAGGATGGGGGTTGAGTAAAACCGAACCAACTTCAAGAAAAACAACTAAGGAACAATTCAAATTAAAGTATCGAAATCAATCAAAAGAACAAATCTTGGTCTAAGTCAACATCCACCATTGGAATTTTATAACCATTAAAATATACATGTAGTAGTGCGAGTAAGGATCGTTCCCACAGAGAGTGTCTAGCCTAGTTTTATGCTACGTGAATAAGGATGGGGGTTGAGTAAAACGGAAACAACTTCAAGAAAAACAACTAAGGAACAATTCAAATTAAAGTATCGAAATCAATCAAAAGAACAAATCTTGGTCCAAGTCAACATCCACCATTGGAATTTTATAACTGATCTTCGACAAGTATATATCAATTCATACTTTGAATATTCATCGTTGGAACTATTTTCCTATCTCTCCTTAGTCGTAGTTAATTAGAAAACAAGCGATCTAATTAATCTTAATTACTAAACAACCCAATACAAGCGCTAAAGGTTTAATCTAATAGCAACCTTAAGAACTAGAGAGATCGATGAAGCTAAACAATACAAACACAGCGGTTGTATTTAATTTAGTTGAGCGTTCTTCTTAAGATCTAGTAATTTTTGACGCAGCAAATTATTAAATCTTAGTTGCTTCACAAATTAGAGGGATCAAACAATTACGGATTTAATATATAACCCAGTAGATTGCAACAAATAATAAGCTAGTAGGCCTCCTAGTAATTAAATGAGACAATCAAGAAAATAGGCACAGAAGAACATCCGATACTTAAAGCATAAATTGAACAATGAAAACAAATTAGATCTCACAGTTTTTATTAATTCCAAGGCTTCCGTTTCCTTTGACCAATTATTAAAATTCCTCAAAACTCCAAGGAGAAGTTGGGGAAGAAGGGAGAGAGAGACGTGTGTAAAGCGCCTCCTCCATACAAATCGAGTAAAATTCGAACTATGTTCGTAGTCGTAACTTGACACTTAATTTTTCAGTCAATTTCAAAAATTCCAAATTCCAAATTTTAATTTCTCTATTTTTGTTTTTTAACCAGGAATTTTAACAAACTAATAAAAATAGTACATTAAAAGTTTATTTATTTTTTATTTTTATAAATTCCAAATCTGAACTTTTTTGAAACAAAAATTTGGTCAAATATTTCAACTCTATGATAAAATTTTATTCATTTTTCTAATTTAACTACTAATAAAAGTTTGGATTTTTTTTTCCCATCTTAGCAAGAAAACTAGTTTTGCTGATTAGGTTGGATTTTAAGATGAAAAGTTTGAACCTCACGTAAGTCTGGGTTGGGTTGGAACAATGTATTAAAAACCTAGCCCAACCAAATCTTATACGTATAATTTATATCGGGGTTAATTTCATAAAGATATTCATTCCCTCTCATTTTTATATTATATATATATATATATATATATTTCTGTGTGAATGAAAGAAAAATGTATATAATACATATATGTAAGGAAAAACGGAGCTGAAGGGGCAAAAGCCCAAACAGAACAAGGCACGGGCCTATACAAATCCTAAGAGCCCAACAAGCCCATTTTGTTGAAAGTCTGTTGAAGAGTAACGGTAACAAAAATTCAAACAAAATTTTTGATGCCTCTGAGGTTCTTCAGAACAGAGAGTTCTCACAATCTCCTGACAGAATGGGTAAATATCACCAAACTGAAATCCGATTAAATCAACAACAGAACTTGATAAAACAAAAAGTATTTATGTAATGATTGATTCTGTTGAGGAGAGTAACGGTAACAAAAATTCTCTCTGTTGAGAACAGAGACTTCCATCTGTGATCACACACAATCTCTTTAGTGAATGGGTAATTATCACCAAACTCAAATCCTATTAAATGAACAACTAAACTTGATACAACAAAAAGAATTTTGTAGAAACAACATCTGTGATCACACACAATCTCATTACATAATAAGCATTTGACTGTGTGGAAACAATTACATTGAATTATATACATAAATCAGTAGAACCCTAAATTTGCAGATAAGATTTGAAGCCCTAAAGTTGAAGATGAGAAGCAGTAATTCCCACCTTCACGATAGCAAAACAGAGCTCGGAATGCCCAAACTTGGAGAACATCACCTGCGGCAAAGGAATTGGTGTTGGCAACATCATTCCAAGGATTAACCAGCGCATACACAAAACTTGATTCCGTCTCCCACCGCTTCAATTTCATCCTCCATTCATTCAACTCCGGGTCAATCAGCAGCGTTTCAATGGCCACCAAATTCCCATCTCTTCTGGTCTCCAAGATGGCCTTCTCGTCCTCTGTCAGAAACTGGTTCCTGACGCAATTGCCCGGAATCGAGAGCCGATTATTGCCCTTTTTAAGGTCGGTGGCGAACAACCCCTTCTGTTTCACCAGAACTATACCGGAACAACCCATGTGTTGGATACGATTCCTCATGCGTGAAGGCAGTGGTGGTGGGTACAGACCAATTTCTGCTTTCTTGGCATTTTTCTTGGAGTTTTTCTTGGTTTGATGATGATCAGAGCCTGCAAGAGTTTCCATCTTGGGCAGGTTCAGGAAGTGATTCATGGCCGGCTTCTTGAGAGATGGGGATCGTTTCTTCATCGGCCATGGCGGCGGTCGGAGCGAAGAAGAAAGGGGAGAAATACAGCTATTGTTATGAGAGAGAGAGAGAGAGAGAGAGAGTAAGGCATGTTTGGAAGGCTAATTACGAGTTGTCTTAATTGGGATTATCAAGTATTGTCTAATAATACAAAGTAACCCGGACAAAGAATTGACAACACTGATACTACTGTAGATAGACCAAAGCAACAGCACAAGATATTATTCATAGAAAATAATGGTAACATATTAAGCCTTTAAAGGGGCTCAACTTTCATAACTTGCAAAACAACTGAATCTCCAGATTACCATTTACAATTTGAAGCAACAAACTAATATAAAGCACAATTTACAAGTGACAGAAAAATGACTACGACATAACCAGTAACTATACAAAGGTCATGTTAATTAATATAGCCAAAAGTTTTCTTGGATTTGATCGATGTTGCCGACTGAAAGTGATGGCTCATCATCATTCATAAGAAATTCAGATAAAGCATTGAGTTGCTCCTGCATTTCTGGATCAGTGTCCTCCAAAAACGAGTCTTCTGCTGCTATTGTATATGCATGAGTCTCATCATCATCATCATGTGGTAGCAGCGGCTGATGATTGGAGGTTGCAGTTGCATCTAAGTTGTCAAAAAATGAGTCTATCTGCTGCATATCACAAGAGTTGATTGTGATGTTGGACAGATCAAAGAGAGTTGCAGTCTCATCATCATCATGTGTTGGCAGTGGCTGAATATCAAAGGGTGTATTGTTGGGTAGTTTCGGTGGAAGCAACTGATCAGGATGACTGTCCATGATTGTTACTATGGACACAGATTGATCAATGTTTTGTGGAGTTGTAGAGACCTCACCATGATCATATCTCATCTTCTTACGACATCTAGGGTTTTCTTCTTTGGATACTTCATGAGCATGATGCTTTGGTGCTCTCTTGAGATGTTTAGAATCATCTCTTTTGATTTTGCAAACTACGTAATCACGAGTGCCTTCTTCTAACCCATTCAAACTCACACCGCCCAATGAATACTCGTGCATAATCCAATGACCTTTTGGCATGATCAAGAACTCATCTTTCTTCGCATCTACTTCAAAACTCAACATCTTGTTGAATCCAATAAGCTCTTTCTCTTTATTATAAATGTTCTTGATACCGGTTTGGCCATCCCATGTCCCACATCCGGCTCTCCGAACAATTCTCTTCTTTTCGCGGTCAATTTTCTTCAATTGGGTGAAGACGTAGATAACAAATTCATTGGATTTCAATGAATGCCATGGATCTTCAACCGTAAATATATTCCAAGGTGCCTCGCCATAAACATCGCGCTCCAAAATTACACCCTCGTAAGGCAACGATTCTTGCTTCAGTTTTCTTCTGAGAAAGTGTGTGAGGAGTTCTTCTTCTGTGGGGATAAACCGAAATCCTAGAGGCACAAACATATTTGTGCTAGATAAAAGAGGGCTGAGGCAGTGATAAGGATTAAGAAAAAGGGGGCCGAAACCCTGGAGGCTGAGGCGCTGCGCTGATAAAAGAGGCCGGAAAAGAGACGCGGCGATGATGAAAAGAGGGCTGAGACGCGGCAATGATTGGTGAATAAAAATGGAAACAGAAGAAGTGGGACACAATTAGCGAAGAAGAAGACGAAGAAGAGTAGCGCGATTGAGGGAGGCGGTAGGTTTTTGGAAAGTGGGTTGGGAAGAAGGAAATATATAGATGGAGGCGGCGGCTAGTAACTTGGAAGGAAAGTAAAACAGATATTGTAATCATTGAAAAAAATCTAAAAAGATATGATCAAACATATCTTTTTACAATTTAGTTAAGAGAGAGAGAGAGAGAGAGTAGGGAATGTTTGGAAGGGTAATTACGAGTTGGGTTGATGTCTGCAGATTTGGGTAATTAAATTGGGGTTATTAAGTAATGTGTAATACAAAGTAAGTTATGTAACCTGGAATAGACTTACTATACATATATCATCTATATATGGATAATCTTGTTGTCAAGGAATGATTGCGCATGGCTATATGCTCTGTGTGAAGCAGTAGACACTCCACTAGATGGCGACACATCTGCAGCCCTTCGTTGTCTGCTCAGGAAGTCTGCAAGCTTACGAGCTGAAAAGTCTGAACCGGACGATGAAGTTATAATGCTTAATATTCTGGCAACAATCTCGGGCAGGTACTTTGGGCAGTCAGATAACTGAAGGTTTTCATTTGCATCGAACGACTTCAAGGACAATGGACGGATTATTTTGCAGTTTTCCCTGTTATGTTTGTGCCGGAGCCATGAACATGTTCCGGGCTTCAATGTGGAGTCACTCTTGTGTTTTTGGAAGTGGTTATGAGAGGAATGAACATGTTTGATATGGAACATTTCAGATTGCAAAGAAGTCTACACTATATAGTATGGTCATGCAAGCAGGTCTCTTACAGATTATTTATGTGTTGTAATGTAAATTACCTCTGAAAGGACCTTTTTGTCATTATCAGGAACGTTTTTATCCTACTTTATTTATTTGTGTTTCTACAAAAGTGAATACAAAAGTGGACAGTTCTACAACATAATCAATACAAAAGTGAAACGTTTTTACATGTTTCAGCACTAAAACAACTGTTACTGTAACGATGAGCACTAAAAAATAAATTTTTTTTAAAAAAAAAAAAAAAAAAAAAAAATTCTTATATGACATTTTTAAATTAACCATTTTTCAAGTTTGCAACATTTTTTTTACCAAATATATTTTCATGTTTTTGTTTCAAAAAATCTTACAACAAATGATCGTAATCAAACATACTTTATTGATGTCAAGAAAAACTTAGATTATGATTCAATTAATAAGAGGTAACCAAATTTCAATTACTACCATACTAGTCAAAACGGCATTCATACTAGTCCTCACAATTTGAAAATAGGACTAATTTTGTAAAATTTACAATGAACTTAAAAGGTAAAACTCTGTTAAGAACAGGGCAATAACTATATATATATATATATATATATATTTCCGGTGTGAATGAAAGAAAAATGTATATATTTATATAAGGAAAAATGGGGCTGAAGGGGCAAAAGCCCAAACAGAACAAGGAGAAAAAGCCCAAACAGAACAAGGCACGGGCCCATACAAATCCTAAGAGCCCAAGCCCATTTTGTTGAAATTCTGTTGAGAAGAGCAACGGTAACAAAAATTCAAACAAGCCTCTTTTGGAGAGTTTCAGAACAGAGAGTTCCATCTGTGATCACTCACAATCTCTTTAGCGAATGGGTAAATATCACCAAACTCAAATCCGATTAAACCAACAACAAAACTTATAAAACAAAAAGTTATCTATGTAATGATTGATTCTGTTGAGGAGAGTAACGGTAACAAAAATTCTGTTGAACTCTCTGTTGAGAACAGAGACTTCCATCTGTGATCACACACAATCTCATTACAAAACTTAAACTTGATACAACAAAAAGTATTTTGTAGAAACAACATCTGTGATCACACACAATCTCATTACATAATAAGCATTTGACTGTGTGGGAACAATTACATTGAATTATATACATAAATCATTAGAACCCTAAATTTGCAGATAAGAATTGAAATTGACCAGAATCGACAGCCGATTGTTGACCTTTTTAAGGTCGGTGGCGAACAACCCCTTCTGTATCACCACAACTATACCGGAACCACCCATGTGTTGGATACGATTCCTCATGCGTGAAGGCAGTGGTGGTGGGTTCAGACCAATTTCTGCTTTCTTGGCATTTTTCTTGGAGTTATTCTTGGTTTGATGATGATCAGAGCCTGCAAGAGTTTCCATGTTGGGCAGGTTCAGGAAGTGATTAATGGCCGGCTTCTTGAGAGATGGGGATCGTTTCTTCATCGGCCATGGCGGCGGTTGGAGCGAAGAAGAAAGGGGAGAAATACAGCTATTGTTATGAGAGAGAGAGAGAGAGTAGGGAATGTTTGGAAGGCTAATTACGAGTTGTCTTAATTGGGATTATCAAGTATTGTCTAATAATACAAAGTAACCCGGACACAGAATTGACAACACTAATGCTACTGTAGATAGAGCAAAAGCAACAGCACAAGATATTATTCATAGAAAATAATGGTAACATATTAAGCCTTTAAAAGGGCTCAACTTTCATAACTTGCAAAACAACTGAATCTCCAGATTACCATTTACAGTTAGAAGCAACAAACTAATATAAAGCACAATTTACAAGTGACAGACAAATGACTACGACATAACCAGTAACTATACAAAGGTCATGTTAATTAATATAGCCAAAAGTTTTCTTGGATTTGATCGATGTTGCCGACTGAAAGTGATGGCTCATCATCATTCATAAGAAATTCAGATAAAGCATTGAGTTGCTCCTGCATTTCTGGATCAGTGTCCTCCAAAAACGAGTCTTCTGCTGCTATTGTATATGCATTGGTCTCATCATCATCACGTGGTAGCAGCGGCTGATTATTGGAGGTTGCAGTTGCATCTAAGTTGTCAAAAAATGAGTCTATCTGCTGCATATCACAAGAGTTGATTGTGATGTTGGACAGATCAAAGAGTGTTGCAGTCTCATCATCATCATGTGTTGGCAGTGGCTGAATATCAAAGGGTGTATTGTTGGGTAGTTTCGGTGGAAGCAACTGATCAGGATGACTGTCCATTATTGTTACTGTGGACACAGATTGATCAATGTTTTGTGGAGTTGTAGAGACCTCACCATGATCATATCTCATCTTCTTACGACATCTAGGGTTTTCTTCTTTGGATACTTCATGAGCATGATGCTTTGGTGCTCTCTTGAGATGTTTAGAATCATCTCTTTTGATTTTGCAAATTACGTAATCACGAGTGCCTTCTTCTAACCCATTCAAACTCACACCACCCAATGAATACTCGTGCATAGTCCAATGACCTTTTGGCATGATCAAGAACTCATCTTTTTTCACATCTACTTCAAAACTCAACATCTTGTTGAATCCAATAAGCTCTTTCTCTTTATTATAAATGTTCTTGATACCGGTTTGGCCATCCCATGTCCCACATCCAGCTCTCCGAATAATTCTCTTCTTTTCGCGGTCAATTTTCTTCAATTGGGTGAAGACGTAGATAACAAATTCATTGGATTTCAATGAATGCCGTGGATCTTCAGCCGTAAATATATTCTAAGGTGCCTCGCCATAAACATCGCGCTCCAAAATTACACCCTCGTAAGGCAACGATTCTTGCTTCAGTTTTCTTCTGGGAAAGTGTGTGAGGAGTTCTTCTTCTGTGGGGATAAACCGAAATCCTAGAGGCACAAACATATCTGTGCTAGATAAAAGAGGGCTGAGGCGGTGATAAGGATTAAAAAAAAGGGGGCCGAAACCCTGGAGGTTGAGGCGCTGCGCTGATAAAAGAGGCCGGAAAAGAGGCGGCGATGATGAAAAGAGGGCTGAGACGCGGCGATGATTGGTGAATAAAAATGGAAACAGAAGAAGTGGAACACAATTAGCGAAGAAGAAGACGAAGAAGAGTAGCGCGATTGAGGGAGGTGGTAGGTTTTCGGAAAGTGGGTTGGGAAGAAGGAAATATATAGATGGAGGCGGCGGCTAGTAACTTGGAAGGAAAGTAAAACAGATATTGTAATCATTGAAAAAAATCTAAAAAGATATGATCAAATATTTGATTACAATTTTTAGTTAAGAGAGAGAGAGAGAGAGAGTAGGGAATGTTTGGAAGGGTAATTACAAGTTGTGTTGAAGCTTGGCTTGATGTCTGAAGATTGTGTGATTAAATTGGGATTATTAAGTAATGTGTAATACAAAGTTATGTAACCTGGAATGGACTTATTATACATATATCAACTATATATGGATAATCTTGTTGTTTTCTTCAATTTCAGTGATAAATACTCAACTGCCCAAGGAAATTAGCACCACTTTTATTGAACTCAACCAAGAGCTTTGAATCTGATTCAACTAACAATAAATTGGTGGTCATCAAATATAATATTAGTGTGTGAATTAATCCCATAAAAATTTGGTAAACTTCCAATAAAAGAGCCATTACAACTTCTTGAAACTCCTCCATAAGCTGACTCCATGTCCTTTTGCACATTTAACTACTGAATCATACCAAATAATTTAACTCTGTTGACAAAAGTAATAGCTTTTTCCCTTTTTATTTTCTAAGATGTTTCAAAGACTCTTTCATACAAATATATAAAAAAACTTCACAAACTTGATAAGAGAAATATTAATATAACTTCAGGTAAGGCTAGCAGCCTCCGTTCATTGAATCAAGAGGTTGTGAGCGTTTTGTGGGCGTCTCATGATGCAACGAATAATGGCATGAGTTCTTGCTGAGACCACCACCATTATAAACTAATTAATTTTGAAATTAATTTGTTAAACCATAGTTAAAAATAGATCTCAATGGACAACATAAAAGATGCAGTTCTTAGGAATCTTGGTGGAGCTTTATCATGGATGAAATCTATGGCTGAAGCCTCCTACAACTTTTGTGCGAAAAAAAGATAAGTGAAGAAATACAATCTGAATACAGTCTATACTGCAAATAATTTGATATAATTAAACAAGTTCTAATGGAATTTAAGAACTTTATGGGTGCAGCAATGGAAAAGTGTAAAAGGGTCACTTACAAAATAATGAAGGTGTCAACACACCAATTACAAAATACTTAAGCTATTACACAATATAAGAATGGATATACAGCCTTAAGTATACACAATACAAGTAACCCTAGTTTACACTTCTCTACAATCAATAGGATAGAACTGTCAAATCACAATTCAGCTTCATTTGATGAACAAACTAGGTTTCCAAAGCCTTGTCACAGCCAAATACACTTGCTTGAATGGAGTACACAGTTAGATAAGCAAGGTAACTCAAGAATAGCTCCCAATAGGCTTAAACCCTAAATTTAAGGGTAAAAGGGTCACTTCACAATGCAGCTCCAAGAATGATCTGCAATTGCCTTCCACATCTCTATATAGCTAAGATACACTTTCTTAAGAGATAAACTCAGTGAAACCATCAAGATATAGCAATGTAAGAACACAACAGCCTTATAGTCTTCAAATCCCTAGTTTTAGCCTCTCAAGTGTAACACGGGAATTTCACCTGAACCTGAAGTTAAACCTGGTTTCCACAGCCTTGATAACTCAATACATACTTGCTCAACAGGCTGAAACAGTGGATGGAGCAAGATAAAATAATCTCAGTTCACAATAGGCTTGAAACACATTAAACCCTAGCTTTCAAGGTCTTCAAGCGTAAATCTGTCACAACACATGAAACATGTGCTAATACAGGTTCTCACAGCTTCACACAATCATTTTACTCTTGCACAGATGTTCTCAATTAACTCAGCAAGTTTGGAACAATGTACCATAAAACTATAACCAAAAATAGCTCTCAGCGGGTTATGTTTTGCAGCTCTGTAAAGCCTCTGATCCGAGGGTATAAAAGTAATTCTGTGATGTCTTAGGCCTAAACAATGCTCTAATAATCTTGAATCATAATTATAAAAATGCTCAGATAATAATTATAATGATTCAAACATGTTATCTCAGGCTTAGTTCACATATCACATAGATTAGGCTTAAAACCCTAGTTTGTGAGGTTTATTGTACCAGAACTTGAATGGGTCACTATCTTTGGTCAAGTCTCAGCTTGATTAGCTTCAAATAAACAATGTATTCATGCTCTGATGGTGTACATGATGTTCACAACATGAATTCAACATGTTATAGATATTTCAGTTGTATTTGCACCAGAAAAACACATTATACTGAGGTTAGAGACTTATAAATCAAATGCAGCTAGGATATGAAGATAAACTTGATTTTTGAAAATGTAAATAGATGAAACAAACTTTCCTCAACCTTCACTTGGCACTAGAAATGAACAAAACCAGAGTTGCCCTTTCAATCCATAAATCTGCACCAGAAAATCAGCTGCAACTGTCCTCTTCTTGATCTTCATATGAAGCACTCATGATAGATGATTTCTGGGATTAATTTTGGTTCTCTAGGTTAATTAAAATCCCAGAAATACTTGAGACCTTTTTCATTCGAGAGGAGCTTACAAGCTTGCTCAGAAATGCTCTCAAAGGCTCACTCATATATAAAGTGTTCATACTATCAAGCATGTGAACAAGGTTTTGAGTAATGAGAGTGCAATCACTTTTGGGAAATTATGCCAAATGTTCTATGTACATCCAATCTGCCATTTTTTGCATACCCCCATGATGGAACCACCACCATTAATTGGCTTTACTTACCATGTTTTTTTAATTAGTTCAGTAATATCTTCCAATAACTTACCTTGGATCGGTTCAGTAAAAAGAGGGTCAAAATTATCTGCTGAAGGGTAGAAGCTTATATTTTATTTTTTAAAGGTTAAGGTGTGCAATGAAAATGATTTTTGGCATGAAGAAGGGCCTCACTCTTTAAATCATGAGCCACCAGCCTTAGTGGTAAATGCAGTTCCTTTCTATTAATTTGCGTATCAAACACTAGGGAATCTTCGTGCCATCAATTAATTTGGTGATCAAACACTAGGGAATCTTCCTCCACTGCTTGCAGCTTGTGTAACAATAACATGGAGTCACATTGTCATCTCTTCTTCAATTGTCCGTACTCTTTCTTAATCTGGGAATACTTTGCCCAAAAACTGAACTACCATTATTTTTTGTCATGGCCTCACTTGATTGCAGGAATACATTGGACAGGATTGGAAACTCACACTTGCAGCCATGGTTTACTGTCCACTTGAAAAGGTTTGGGAATTCAAATCTGCCAGAGGAAATGAAGCACGCCTTAAATTGAACTCAACCAAAAGCTTATGGTTTATTGTGTTTGGAAGGAGAGAAATTCGAGAATTTTTCAGTCAATCTTCCAGGGAAGCCACAGAGATCATAGCTGATATAGAAGGCTGCGTGAGAGATAATAAAGGATAGCCTTCAAGCAAATATGACTTTCCCTTAAAGAAAAATATAGAAGAGTATTTAGGTGCAAACAATAACTTCCCAAAATAGTTAGAAGGACGCACTTCTTTGTTTGAAAATTTTACTTAGTGACACAATCGAGAGTCTTTTGAAAGGAAAAACTAATCATATGAAGATTTCTGTAAGCACCTCTCGTTCATTGAATCAAGAGGCTTTGTTGCATGCGTCTTATGATCTAACGAATGAAGGCGCGAGCTCTTGGTAAGACCGCCACCATTATAAACTAATTTTTTTTTTGAAATTAGTTAAAACCTTATCCAGTAAGACTCCATCTATACTAGCTCATTCCAACAACATACTTAGACCAATTGACTATGCACTATTGCAAAGATTCATGATGACCCTTCAATTCACTAACCTTAGCATTTCCCCACTCGAGAACAACATTTGATGTGATATTCACACTTCTATGTGATAATTAATTAAAGGAACTTAGTCTTTCCCAACTACAACTATATATAGGACGTCTCACATATACCAAATTCATCAATCTATTTGTTTAATCAGTACCTCTTAATGGACATCATAAAAGATGCAGTTCTTAGGAAGCTTGCTGAAGTCTAAGGTTGCAACCTCTTACAACTGTGTACAAGTTCAAATGAAGATAAGTGAAGCAACAAAATCTACATACAGTCTACTATACTGCAAATTATCTGAAATGAGGAGAGGAGAAGAATGCAGAAGAAATTTTCAGCTCAGTATGCTCAATTTTTTTAGCGCTAATGGATTAATAGTTATGTTTGGAACACTAATTATAAGTCTTGATAATCTCTTGAAGCTTGTCTTGATGTCTGATTGCGTCTATAAGGCCTATGAGACAATGGATAAGCAATTAAATTGGTTATTAAGTATTTTGTGATACAAAGTAAGTTATGTAACCTAGAATGGACTTATGATGCATATATCAACTATATATGGATAATCTTTTTGTTGTCTTCGATTTCAGTGATAAATACTCAACTGCCCAAGAAAATTAGCACCCCTTTTATTGAACTCAACCAAGAGCTTTGAATCTGATTCAAATAACAAGAGGTGGTCATCAAATCTAATATAAGTGTGAATTAATCCCATAAAAATTGGTAAACTTCCAATAAAAGAGTCATTACAACTTCTTGAAACTCATCCATTAGCTGCATTACTGGTTTTCCCACAACACATCCATGGATATTTAATTTATGTAGTAAATGTATCCACATGACCTGGACACATGACTACAGATAATTAGTTTAGATAAAATCCAACACAGATACAATGATTGTACTTGTAATTTTATTTGATGCCACAATCGAAAAGG